AACATATTTTTGTGTCACTTTGTGTCCTGATAAAAGAAATGCTACATTATGTTTCTCACTGTAAATTAGCTGTATTTTTTGTACAATGCTTCAATTGGGCGGACATAAGAACAGTGCAAAAGTTCAGAGAACTGAAAATCTATGGAACAGATATTATAGTTACTTAACTAGATTAACATTTAAAAAATAATTATTATTCATGAAGAACAATTATGTTTACTTTATCTAAAAAGCACAAATTTACAATAAATATTACTTTCAAGCACTTTAAACAAGTTACCTTCAAGATGACATAATCACAGAGGTCCTCAATTTAAATGCAATTCAGTTTTAAATATCTACATTCAAGTTATTAGTTTCCTACTTAAGAAAAATCCCAGATTCCAACAATTGAACTTCTTTATCAGAATGAGCATATGATGGTCCCATGGCAACAGCTCCAACAAACCAGGACTCATGAGAGACAGATAATATGTGAAATGATACGACAAAGACACAGATGAACACGAAAACATCAAGCTGTGAATTAATGGGAATAATGGAATGAGAAATGCACATAAACCTGGAGCAATAATAGTAGAAACAATCAGTGAAAGAGTAGATAGTGAGAGAAAAAAACTTGAAGCTCAGGGTAAGTCAGGACAATCTAGAGACTTTGTTTGAAAATATAAATCCTAAAGCAGGTGTCAAAGGTTCAGAGTGTGTCAAAGCCCAAATCCAAACTTGGAACTGGTTATACATGTAGAAGTCAGAAGGTTACTTCTGTACTGTATTGTGGGAACAGTAGAACCCAAGTCTGGGAGTAGAGTGCAACATGTAGATAACAAGGAAGTATGATGTATTTTATATCAACTCCTATGGTATCTGCTCCAATCTGGGCATGTCCTGGTGATCACTATTTCTTAAATTCATTTGAATAATTAGGAGAGTTCCAAATGTCTTAATTGTACCTCCAGTTTTTTTGGGGATATTTGGAACACACACAAAAAAATGTTTTTTTTCCATTGTTACTTTTCTACTGGACTTTCAAGAAAGGAAGACGAAAACTGGTTGGTAGAAAAGACTCCTAACTAAAAGAAAAATCTATCTTGATGTTTTCAGCTCCTCTGACTAGCAGAAGCCTTCTTGGACTTTACAGTTGTCTGTTCCAAAAATATTTGCTTTACATTTAACATTTGTATGCTTAGTTGTTAGAAGTGCAGCTTTTAAATCTCAAGCAATGCTTGTTGATGTTGATAAAATGCGTGAATAGTCCCTGTTGTGGTTTTTAGAGCTTATCGGGTTCTCCATGAAGAAATATGCAGGGACTATTCACTGTGGATTTTCCTTCTGTGTTTTGAAGAAGTTTGTGAAACAATAAATAAAATGTATGTGAAGAATGTTGACTAGTTTTATTTTTGCTGCTTTTGTGATGATCAGGAACAACAGACTACAGTGTAGTGCTACAACATGCCACACTGAAATGTGACACTGACCTCGCCATAGTACAATTTGTATTTATTTTCAATTACCTGCACAACAACAAAGACGTTTTATTAATTTTGCTGAAAATAGAGATAACATTAATGGTGTGTGAAAGATAATGTACGTCATGTTATGGAAGAGGAGTTGCATGGCACAGCAATAACAACACATTTAGTAAAACCAACACACAGTATGTACACCCTCAAGTAAGAGACTGTTTATGACTGGTTGTGTAGAAATGCCTGCGTATCGTCCTACAGGCATTTCTGCCTGCATCCTCCTTTACACCTGCAGGGGTTCTATGGTTCCTGGATATTTGGGGCATCTCTGAGCTAAAGCCAGAAACTCTAATAGAAGTGAAGGAAGCTGGTAGCATCAATCGGCAGCCTGTGTCGATTGATGGCACAGGCTGACAGAGAGGCATGGACTGTCTCCCTGCTGGATTAGACGTGCTACGTCCATTCCAAAGTGCTTGTTTGATCTCTTACATCTCAAAAAGAGATTTCTTTTAAACCTAAGGAGGCCAGAAATGAAAAGTTTTATTTTGTGAAGTATGTGTAACGTAACTAGTTAATACCAAAAGACAGCCATATTGATGATGTAATAAATATACATTTTCAAACCAGAATATAGCATTATGAATGGGGTTGAATGTGTTGATTACTGAGTTCAAAGCTCCAGCACCATAAACCAACTACTGAGGTTCTGTGGTCTACAAATTATACAATGGACAAACGCAGCTGTTCAGTTCTATAAGCATTTCCTAATCCATCTGGAAACTTTGTTACATTGCAATGTTGACATTATGCTAGCTTGGAAAAAAAAAAAATCTTTGTCTGGCAGTCAAAATTGAAATCAAATCATAGAACTTCCCAGCTAAGGTGAAACAGCGGGCAAACAAACTAGATAAAATTAGAATCCCTTTTCAAGGTCTTATTTAAACTTTTCTTTGCTTGTTTAATGTAGACAACCATTAAATCTATTAACATGGCTCACCTTTGTAATAAATTGCAAATGCTGCCATGTGCCAATTGTCATACTTTATAATTGTGCAGGGTAAATGTCAAAGGTTATTGTCATGATGGGTTCTATATTTCTAACACCACACAAGAGAAACAGAATCAGTAAAATATAATTTATTGAAAACAGGAAGGATGAGGGTAAAATGGGTCTGGTCCAGGGGAATGGACTCACAGAGCGGTCGGCTCATTATGAAAACAGCAAGGAGATGATGGTAAGTTCATGGTCGTCGATGCCACCAGGTATACTGGAGAGATCTTACTTGTAGAGATGACGAGAACTGTTTGGGAGGGTTTGCTGAGGTGTCAGGGGTCTTTGTCTCTTAGTGGGTCCACTTGATCCAGCGCTTGGCCAAAGGAATCCGGAAGGCAACGAGGAAGTGCAGAGGGCGGACAGGTAAGTTCAGGTGGAGTGGAGACAAAGGAGCAGAGTGACTGCCAGTCGGAAAATCCAGGAGGAAACTTGCAATCAGACGGAGGAGGTAAGTTTGGAAACTCAGGCAACAGGTGGGTACGTTCAACTGCGTCTCAAGGAAACACCTTAGGACACGAGGCAACAACAGAAATCACTAGGAATCAATTCAATGAGGAAACACAGAGATTAGCTCCAAGGGGCTCAGAGTTACCATTCCTGGCAAACACTCAGATGTCCAAGCACTAGCAGTCAGCTCCTCTTGTACTCCAGAACTGATGAGCTGATAGATTTCAGGTGTACAGGATGACGGCACGCCTCTCTGGAGAAGAAAGCTTTGACGCTATCTGGTGGATAAACGGTGAGTAGCAGAAGGAAAAAATCCACAAAGAAAACAAGGAACTCTGGAACACAACAGTTATACAGGAAAAGATGCCTGAAACGTGGGTAAACTATGTCTAAGAACCAGGACACCAAACGGCCAGGGTGTGTGTTTACACAAGACCCGCACCTGTCCGGGGTCCGTCCATTCTCCAGGTGTTACCTAGGAATAGGGGCCCGAAATATGGATAAAATCATTTGCAATCATTAAAAATAGCTGTACATATGCAGCAATGCCTAAAGAAGGACAGAACAACAATGCTTGTTTGTTGCCAAGGGATGTTTTTTTTACCAAGATAAAATTAAAATACATGTTTATGCTTGTGTTGCTATTCTTACAACACAAGCAATTTAAGCTTTCGATTTTAATATACTTACATTTAAAGCTGTACTTCTCTCTCGTTGCATCTTCCTCTTCATCAGGTGGGTTGAGAAGGATACACCAGAAATCAAAAGGAATTTGTGGGCTGCATTTTACATTGGAGGAGGCTTTGAATTGAGATGCACTTTATCACTTCATTTTTGTGACATTATCAACCTTTCATAAAATCTCAGGTCACAATCATGAGACTATATTATCAATATGATAATGACTGGTCAAAGTAGCCAGTGCTTATGCACATTTGTATTGTATCAGAATTTTGATACAATACAGACGAACTTTAATGTTCATCAGAATAAAAATTATATCCTATGAAATTAAATCAAACGTTAATTGTTAGCCTTCAACTTCAACTTTCTTCTGTCAAGACAAGAGTTGTTGTTTTCAGACCAGAACCTCTGAAATAAAAAACTGCTCAGTAAATCACTTGATCTGGATGGCATTAAATTGGCCTCCAATATAAAGTGAAGAATATCTTTTTTTTTTTTTTTGCCAGGATATGCAATTCAAATGTTATATTAAACAACTTTCTAGGGCTTTCATGTTTCATTTCTGGAATATTGCCAAGATTAGAAATATCTTGTCGAGAAGTGAATTTGAAAAACAAGTCACTTCTGTTTCAAAAATGAACTTCAAAGCTGGACTACTGTAATTCTTTACTCTCATGAGGTCCACAAAAAAAAGTTAGAGGCCTCCGATGATCCAAATTGCTGCAGCAAGAAATCTGATGAAAATTCAAAATAGAAAACATACATTTCCTATTTTAACTTCTCCTCATATGTAAATATCCTATGATGATATTTGAAGCAGAAAGAACCTGGGCTTTAATCATGGAAGTCACAAATTTAACTCTCTTCATTTTGTTCTTAGAAACTTATCTCCTAAATTTAATTCAGTTTTGATGAAAATTTATTTGATATCCTGTTTCATGTAGAAGATGTTCACAGTTATGGTTCAATGCTATTCTGGTGCCTTTGATAAACAGTACAAAAACTCTGGAAGTCTCTTTACTGGGTATCAATAGCCATTAAACAGGTGGAGCAGAAACTTCTCAAATCCATCCACTGGTTTTCCCTTATGGATGAGGATCTCCTGCAGATGATCTTGTCAGAAGATATGTATTCATCTACCTATGTCAGAGTTGATAATAGTTTCAAAATATAATAATAATAATAATAATAATAATAATAATAATAATAATAATAATAATAATAATAATAATAATAATAAACTTAAAATCACACCGATTATGCCAGTTTTGTTTCGAACTGGATTGTTTTTCGGATCCAGTTCGAATCTCCTGAAACCGGCCACTTCTCCGTTCCGCGCATGCTCTGTTCGCTCCCTGCCTGTCCAGAGGGCAGTGGAAATAAAGAGAGAGTTAACGGGGATCCAAGAAGTGGCATGTTACAGCACAGCAGTTTTTTCCTGGCTCTTCTTCTTCACGATGTTCTTTGGGATTTTAATAAGATGCGTGTGTGTTTCCCGATAAGCAGCTTTCTCCTCGCCGTCAACTTTTACTGTCAGCTGCTTCGAGCTCAGGGTGAGTCTGCCCCTGATTTTGATCTGAAACTTCCCGAACTCCATCCACTGGTTCTGTTTAGTCTCTTCTGGGTGTGCTTCGAGAAACATGACTGCTTCACTACTTCGGACTGGTTTGTTAGTCCAGTGGTAGCTATATTTCCTTCAAAGCCAACCAAAACTCAGTTTGTGACCTCACCGTGTAATGCCGCTGTGGGCCTTGCTGAGCTGTTCAGTTATGGTTGGAATTTACTGTACTTTTTTTTTGTTTAAGTATGGAAGTTGGCATCTGATTCACAGCTTCGGATTCTGCGCTTTAAAGAATATTTGGACTCTTTGTCTCTCGTGGATTAATACACGTTAAGATCTGGGGGTCTATAATTAGGGCACTATTAACGGAGGCTTCCGTCTGTTTTTCAGGACCTCATCAAAAACGTTGTATTGTAAATAAGCCAAACTTGAACAGAAATATTCTCCAGCACCGAGCTCTTAGCTCTCCATGTCCACTGTAAATATACATATTGATTTGTAGAGCCTTTATTCAGTTTGTGATTCGGCAAAAATCTTAGTTTACATTTAAAGTATTTTCTGGACTTTATCTAAATGAACATTCTAATTCCTGATGATTTTTGAAAAACAGATTTTCTTCCAAAACAATTAAAACACCAAAACCTTTATTCTCATGTTGAAAGGTTTGTCTAATTTAACGATTAACATGCGCCAAAATTATAAATGTAACTCTTTTTGTGTTTTCACAAACAAAATGAAGGCTAGAGGAATCACAAACGGAGAGTTTAAAGAGATAATTCACCAAAGATATTAATGTTTTCAGTATTACTGGGTTTTCCAGAGCCGATTAAATGTAAAAAATTGTAGGAAACAGTGAAATAGCTCTTTAAGTGACGTAGGGTTACGTTCTTCTGCGTAGGCACCGCCCCGCATATTGTCTGGATAATTGGCAAAACAACTTTCGGAAAAAACGTGTAATCGTGTTTGTAACTTTTTGTAGTTTCTAACTAGGAGTGAAAGTAAAGGATCCTCTGCTCTCTGTCAGCGCTACTGACAGTGTTTTTGTAGAGCTCAGCCCGCTATTACCTAATTACTTCATTCCGCTCCAGAGAAGCAACACTGAATTTGACGGTAAAAAGTTCCAATTGAAGTCTGTGTTGCAGTGTGTGACTGCTTGGAGGTTAGATTAGATGCGTGGTCTCAGTAAAAGCACTCCGGAAACGCGATTGAATGAAAAATGGACATTAAGTTACCATCCGACCTGCAGGATTAGTAAAGGGCCATTCCACAACTTCTTAAAGAACCACAACTGCAGTTGAGCATTTCTGAATCAAAACCTAAATAAAATTCTCAGCAATTTTTTTCTTGTGCATTTTATCTCAAAACAAGAAATTTAATCTGAAGAAATCTAAGAGTTGCTCAGTCATACCAAGAAAAACAACTCAGAGGCAGTCATAAGTAAAACCTAAGAACAGATAACAAAAATGCTTATGTCCAGAATTAGTTTTAGATTGAAACATTCGACACACGATCTTTGATAATTGACTTGCAACTATCTTTTATTTTGATACAAATGGTCATGTTTATTGTTACTGGAGAATAACTGTCATCACTAAAACAGTCACAGAGAATATTTTGACTTGAAACTAACTGACATTGAGTTAGCATTCTTTTTAAAGACTGAAGTAAAATCCTGAAATTAAGATATTCATAACATTCTCATGGAGTCTTTATCTTATTGAGCATGTTCTCACTGGATTTGAGCCACCAGATGTTTATACTATGATAATCCTATATGTAAAAAGTTCAGACAGATTGTTGACCGTACCCAAACTCCTGGTGTGGTTTGGGAAAGTTTGTTTCAAATGAGCAGCAGAAATTCTCAGAAGCTCAACATGTAGGAAAAAGAGTGCTGGTTTTTCAAAAATTTATAATTATTTTTTGAAAGGTAAAGAACTGGAGCCCAGAAAATCATTGAAATCTAGGTTTTGAAGTCAAAAGGCAAAGAGAATAGCTTTTCTGGGTTCTAATGAATTTATTAGGCATGCTAACTAAGTAAACCAAACAGATGTGCCTACCAAGAGGGCAGTAAAATAAAAGCCGTTGATTTCATTTTCACTTGTTTGTTGGCAGAGTCAGCCTGGAGTTGTTTGGTTGTTCTCTATTGGTGGATTTTTGAACCATCTTTGTTTGTCCAGGCGTCTGTTCAGGAGATGTCCAGGCGTCTGTTCAGGAGATGTCCAGCTGCTGACAGCTTCCTTGTGTTCCACAGCCTCTCTCAATGACGTTCTATCCAGCGGGGTTGTGCAGTGTTAAAAACTGCTCTAACACTGGTCGGGCAGTCTTTGAAGTTAAGTGCACATGGGCTCAGGATGTGGATTTGCTCTGATTAAGTATCACTTTGTTCAGCCTGTGTTTTTGTCTCCCTCACACATCTGTCCCAGACATGAAAGAAGCAAAACTCTTAGATCTTCATTTGTGCTGCATATTGTTTCCAAGAGCTTTTTTATTACTCATGAAGAAGCAAAAATATATATTTTCTCTAGATTTTTTTAAACATCCTCCATAAGAAAGTATGAGCACTTTTTTAATTTAGAAAGGAGAAGCATATTCTCCCATTTTCCCTCCATTTTATGCGGAAATTCCACCCATTTTGTCTATGAAGGACTTGGGTAGAGCGTTTTGTTTTTAGTTTCTTTCATGGCGCAGTTGGCTTTTTGAGGCTAGCAGGGAGAAAATGCATCTGGAAGCTGTTTGGCTGTGCAGAGCAGAAGGGGATGAGGAGGGAGAGAGCAGCAGCTCTTAGCTCTCCATGTCCACTGTGAGCAGATGGGCCCAGAGTCCCACAAACCTAATTATAGTGTGGTGAGCACACGATTAAAGTGTGGAATACACAGCTGAGGGTTTGGGCCACAACTGGGTGGAGCAAATCTTGAACTCACTAGCCGTTAAATTCCAAAATTTTGTTTTCTTAAATATTTCACAATAACAGTGTAATATTTTAATATTCACATTAATATCTTTCACAAATGGAGCCAAAAATATGATGTATCTAAATTTCATATGAGTAGAAGTGATTTCTTTCATCCTGAAAGTCTGACTTTCATTGTTCTTTTGGCACTTTGACCGAAGTGCTGTTACATAAGATCAGCCGCATTCAGTCAGAAGTCTTCTCATAGCACAACCTCACATTAGGAAGAAAACATTTCCAAGGGAACTGGAACGCAGCACTTGGTTAAAAGTATAATTATTATCTTTGAATGTCCCAATATATTTGTAAGCTTGACCTCTCTAAATGGCTTGACCTTTGATTAAAGTGACTTTTTTCCTCATAAAATTGTCTCTTTTGCTTAGTTTGAGGAAAGAGTCCTCGCTCCATTGAACAAAATCATCAATAATGTACACATGCTACTTTTATTTCCCTTAAGCAGGCTGACAATTACCTGCTTACCTTAATGATAAATCAGCGATCACACACATCATCCCATAAAGAGGCTGTTCTGCACCCACTGTCAAGCTTTCTGATCCTATGAACAACTTCTCTGCACAGGTTCATTAACACCTTCAGATCAGGATAACTGGAAGGTTTCCAAAAGGTTTTTATTTCAGTGCTGACCACTACCGTGTGACTGAAACTGACAGTGAAGTTTTAGGCGAACATTGTTCTGACAAGAGGAGCAATAATCCTCCTGGGCAGTGATAGTTTGCAGTCAGTGTTCCTGTTTTCTCCTGTGTGTTGTACCTGTCTCCAGGGTACTGGGATATTGATATGTTGATCAATATCCCAGTTATTATGTCCAGTTTTTAGCCTTCGTACTTTAAAGGAAATCAGTGTTTCAGCTGTTCTGCAGTTTTCTGGAAGTTTATTCCAGATTTGTGGTACATACAAGCTGAATGGTGCTTGTCCTCAATTGGTTCTGGTTCTGTGGATCCAGAGCACAGCCAGAACCAGAAGACCAGAGAGGTCTGGAAGGTTGATACAATAACAGCAGATCTTTAATGTTTTGTGGCGCTAAGCTGTTCAATAATTTATAAACTAACAACAGTATTTTAAAGTGTATTCTCTGAGCTACAGTGAAAGGACTTCAGAATTGGGGTGAATTGGGCACCATCTTCCAGGTTTACCACCCACGTCGTCTGATTCTGGTCTTCAGTTTCTATAAGATCTTTGCACTTGCATGCTTTGCTTTGCTTGGTTCTTCTCAAACATGTGGGTTATTATTACAAACATTTCTACTGTGGCCTCACCTGTTCCAGAAAGCTTTAATTCTGATCCAGCTCTGCACATCCATCTACAGCTGTTCTGTAAGAACTTCTCTTCGCAGCTTGCTTTCAAACAAGTCAGATTTCATTAAACTTTTTTTGTGACGAGAGCTTTGATATTAAACATGCAAAAGTGAGGGGTTTTTTTGCTAGTTGTCAGAGCTGTGCCAGAGAATGAACAATTTGCTGGGATGTGCACTCATGAAAAAAATGACCATTCAAAATCTTTCCCACCATGAATAATTATTCTCTCTGCCGAATTGAGAACTTCATTTTTTTGGTAATGGTAACATAACCCTTCCTGAATTGATATAAAGTAGCTTCTCAAACACAGCTGCAAAACAGCAAACTGCCAAAAATCCTCAGTGATAATCAGTCAACTCATCTAATAAGCTACACTAAGCTGCTTTCTGTCTTAAATTCTGTGGAAGCAGTATTCCTGTTGAGTATTCCTTCCACACCTTCGCCATCTTCTCTGTTTTTCAGTTCAGATTTGATTATTTATATAGTTCAGGTTCAAAACAATTGTTTACTAAAGGGACATTACAAGACAAAGAAATCAAACGAGTATACAGAATACAGTCAATCTAATAATATAGGCACTCGGCAGATTCAAATTGAGTTGCATCAATTCTAGTCTGATCGTAGTTTTATGGCACTTCACTTAATTTCAGTTTATGTCACTTAGAATTTTTTTTTCTGGCTGATTCTGTTGAGTCGTTAACTTACTAAGTATACATTATGTGTAGCTGGAAGAAGAAACCTCCAGCAGAACCTGGCTCAGAATGAGAGACCTATTACCATGACAATATGTAAAAAACCTCAGCAGTGCTGGTCCAGGAATTCCCTTTCTGTTCCAGAGAATAGTTAATAGAAGCAGTAGCTCTTTTAGCAGTTTCATCTAGAAGAAAAATACAACTTAGTCCCTTAGTGGCTAACACTCTTTTTGAGAAATATAATCAAAAATGACATTTCTAGAATGAAGTGAAAATGTCTACAATATTTGTTTGGATTGTTTTGATATCAAAATAAAGATAAGACTGTAGACTATACCTGAGAAGTCTTAAAAATCTACTTTCATGGGACTAAGTGAGAGGAAATGACTACAGCACACACAGAAAATTAAGAAATAATTTCCACCTAAAAAAATTCGCTTGTGATGTGAATATCCCTTTAAAAGCATGCAGTTGCTAACCAAGACATCTAGCAAGCAACAATTACAGGATCTGGCAATCTACTGTAGTAAGATTTATGCAAAAAAGTGAAGAGTAGAAGCGTATAGTTTTACTTGAAGAGGTCTATGGACCATCCTGAGCATCCTCACTGTGAAAACAGTCAAAATTTACAATTGGTTAGAACACATTGTAACTTTATTTACATATTTACATTACCATGCCACTCCTTCAAGCAGTTCTTTTAAGTGAGGCGCAGAGGGACCGACACTTCCTAAAGTGTCGGTGTCGGTTATCTGATGTCAACTTCCTGGCTACTCCTGCACTGTCTACAGGATCGCGATGCGTGGCGTCACCTCTATAGTACTCTGACATGCATGTGAGTGTTGAGGTAGTATTATGAATGATAAATATTTTTGACGTAGCAAACAGGATCAGGAACTGGTAAATTCTGGATGTGCCACATGGCGGACTTTTACCTTCTGCTGGACTCTCCATTGAAGGTTGCATGGACTGTAAAGCACATGGTCACTTCATGTGTCCATCCACTTGAGAAACAGCAGGCCATCTCTCCTCAGCCACTGTAAATCTTTCCTCTCAGGCTTTCTGGAAGAATTTTGTTTGGCATTGTTTATAAAACATCCAATATTTCTGCACTGAGCTTGTGGAACAGTGAGGTACTTATGTAAAACCTGCCTACCTACAGTGTGTTCCCCTCCACCAACCAAAGATGATGAAAGCAGACTCATCACTGCAGAGGAGCCTTTTGTGGAGACTCTCTTAGCAGAGTAGGTGTGCTTTGTGAAGCAATCACCCAGCACAGAAAGTTTGTACTGTATCTGCACTTTGTCAGCAGTTACAAAGTGCAGGTACTTCTTTGTCTTTTTGACCTGCTTAATTCTATGACGAGGTTTGGATGCCACCATCTGTTCATCGATAGACAGAACTGGACTCAACTGGAAGTGGCCCTGGCAGCCTGTCACCATCTGTGTGTACATGGGCCTCTCATAGTCTCCTCTGTTTGTCTTTCTCCCGTTATTCTCATCTTCTTCAGGGTTGCTGAGATATGGTGGCTGCTACATGGCTTCAAAACAAACCTGTCATCAAACTGGGGAAGGGATATTACACATACTCATAAGAGAAGTGAAAATTATGATGTTTTCAATGAGAGAACGAACTGCAGTTTTACTAAGACAGAACTGGAATAGTGAGAGTGGTGACCATAAAGTTATGGTGTTAGAAGTGGGCCAGCTGGTCTGGCATGCTGTGGCTCATTATCTTCTTCCTCTTTGTTGTTTTTTGTACTACAGAATATGGACAGATGTGTTGTGGGACTTTTCATTTTCTTTTGGTCAGCATGTCTTCAGATCTAATAAGGTATGGATGAGGTACAGATGAAGGCAGCCCTTCTTGGGATGTAGTAGAGCACAGGTCTTCAGCCCTGGTTCTCAGGACCAACCATCCTGCATGTTCTACTTGTTCACCCTCCAGCCCAGCTGATTCAAATTCTACCATTACATCCTGCATGTCTCAAATGGCTACAGAAGCCTGTTAATCATCCAGTCACTTAAACCAGATATCCAGCAGAAGGAAACAAACATGCAGGACAGCGGGGTCCAAAGGACCAGGGTTAGATATTCTAACCCTTGCATTACCAGCCCAGCATGGAGTGTGTCCTGACCTTCCTCTGGGTCTCACCTAAGTGGGATGTTCCTGAACAACCTCGCCAGGGAGGTTCAGGAAGCATCCCAGTCATGTGCTCAGCCACCTCAACAGACTCTTCTTCATGTGGGGCACCAGTGCTCCAACACTTTAGTTTCTCATGTTATTATTTGGTAATAGGTTTAAACATCAGTGAAATATCTCAGTTTCAATTCAGTCCTCAAAAATAAGAATTTATGCTGGCAATTATAAAGGTGAAATTTCTGTTAACTTTGTGTATGTTTCCTTACAGATCCCTCCTGCTGCCAATATGCTGCTGAGTTATCACCCTGTAAAGAAGCTTGTGACCAGGTATGAACAGGCCTGCATGCACACAAAACGGCGTTTTTCATTTCCGGTCCTTAGGACCACTGCCAGCGTGCTTTAAGAGTTTCCCTTCTAACAGGGTCTCCAGTCCTTATGTGTACTTAGTGCAGAGGAGGATATGCAATAATTTGAATCAGGTGTTTCAGAATAGAGACACACCCAAAACATGCTGGGCAGTGGTCCTTGAGGACCACAACTGAGAAACACTGATAGCAGCATGGGTATGTGCACCCTGGCCCACTCCTCGGTTCATTGGCCCATCACATTACCACCAGCATGTATTTTAAGGGCATTGACCGGCAGAAATAAGAGTAGAACTGCAAAGTTAAGGTAATCATACATAGGTTTTGCAATCTATGTACTATAATTAAAAATCAAATCCTAAAATACAGCCTAGTGAATTTAGTAGCGAAAGCATGTTGAGTTCAATAAGACTAAAGAGAGATCAAGTCAGAGACGAGGTTGTGAAGAACGTTTTGAGCAAGATTAACTTGCTCAAATTGAAGTCCAAACCTAAAGCCAACATTGGAGTTTGTTCTTTAGGGGGGACTTAGTTACAATTTATTCCTAAATATTCACACTGAACTCTTTTAAGATGTAAAAATTGATGTTCACAGACCCTCCTAATCCAATCTGACTGAACCTGAGCTATTGTACAATGAGACTTTCATTCAATCGATCAATCAATCAATCAATCAATCAATCAATCAATCGATCGATCGATCAATTTTATTTATAAAGTACCCTTCATACTAAAAGCTGCTCAAAGTGCTTTCCTATCATACCTGTTTTGGCAAAAAGAAAAAGTGAATGGTGATAAAGTCAGAGAAAAAATAAGAAATGAAAGCACAATAATAAATTGGTGAAATATCTTAAATAATACATTACATCATCATGACAGAGTGATCAGGGTATATTTTGGGGTGTTTTATAATATCTGACTATGAGAATGTAAATTATAGTTACACATACATAATAATCAACTCTGGTCATAATAGTGTCACACAATAACATGCAAAGGAAATAAAGCACTTCAGTTGGAAATGGTAATTGTGAATAACAGCTGTATCTAATCATGGACATGAGTACGTAGACGTCTCATTGAGCGCTGAGTACTACGTTACGTCGCTGTCATTTTGTATGTGGCAGTAGTCACATAGTGGTAGTAATGGTCTTGAAATGTTAAATATACATTAAATTATGGAACCATGTAAATATGCACTTTAATAAAACACTGTAAAAGTGTGTGTCTGTTCATCAGTGTCAATATAAAAACTATCAGAATCATTTCTATCAAATAAAAACACTGTGCTCTGTATTCAGAAATTACTCAAAACAGTTAGATAATCAGATCAAAAGTCAGAAACGGTGTCTTTAGTGCTTTCTTTGATAACCAAATATATTAGTGTGCGTGAGAGAGTGAATGTGTCAATGACAGGTATTAACTTAAAATACTTTGTAGAACGGTACTTTGTAAAATTCAATCCATTTACTTGTATTAGCTGACTGGCTAATACAATATTGGCCACATTCAATATGGCAGACGCTGTGACGTATCGCAGCAACGGGCCGACCCGCTGTTTGAGGCATCTACATATTCATGTTTATGTATCTAATTACTCAAAACCAAGCTTAACAGTGTTGAGAAAACAAGATACTTTCTACGATCGTTGTTATCTCGTCTCCCCAGGTCCGTTAATCTTGTGTATAAAAGTGAAACCACAAAGACAACAATCACTGTTCAACTTCACAACCAACCAGAATTTCATTCAGAAAATCAAGTGCATGAAATCACATCAACATTTCATCATAATCATTAGAAACCAAATCCACAAAGAAATTAATTACCTTATATAAAAACAAAAATACGAAGACTCAACTTTGAAGACTACTGCGTTCTTGGGTTGAATAGGGTTTTAAAAATTTCTAATTTTTTTTTCTTTCTTTTTTTTTTTTTTTTTTTTTTATCCCACAGCTTGCGACCATCAAAAGTGAGTCACGCCTAAAGCATCTCCTCCAGAGGTTACCCAATTACTGTCCTGAGTCTCTGGTGAGAAAGTTTTCTTTTTATGGACGCCTCTAACATTGGAAAAGCATTTCTGTTTTGATCAACATTGTGAGCCACGGTAGTTCTCAATGCTCAAGAGAATGTTGATTCCTCTTGTAATTTTTCCCAGTAAACCTAAGCAATAGGACATTTTAAGTTTTAAATATTTGCTCAGTGTTGATTCTGTTTCACAATGAAAATACAAGAAAAAGTCCTTGGAAAATACTTTCCAGAAGAAAGATCTGGAATGTCTCATAGAGAACATCCCAGGTTCTCTATGAGACCTGGAATGTCTCATAGAGGACCTGTGAGTTTTACTGAAAAAAATGACTGTCCACACACCTAAAGGATTTCTTCTTTAACTCATTCGAGATGGAATATATTCATCTGCCCTCATTGGCCCCTGTGTCATTTTAATTCCTGTATTGTTTGTTAAATCTTGGGTTTGGTGATTCATGCTGATGGGAATCTCTCTTCAGCACCCAACAGATACTGACAGAGTGCTGATCGTGACATGATTGTTTCACACACTGCACTGCTCTAAAACTTGCTATGTGGAGGGACAGTTCAGTCCCTCCACTGCTGCCAGAGCAGACAGACAAATTTGTGTTTAGCATGATTAGTCTTGTTTTTTTACTTTGTTTAAATTTATGGAATTCAAAAATTGGAATTGTTGGAATTTTTGTTTTTTGGAGCATATAATTCCCCTTCTCTGCTTCTTGTATTACTCCTAAAATTAGCATTCATAGTGGAATACTGGAAATGTTATTACTGTTATTACTAGAGGAACAGTAATGTTCCTCTAGTAATAACACTAACACCTTCAGGACATGGATATAGACAGATTTGTAGATTTTAAAAGGTGATGAAAGTTGTGGTCACTTCCTGTATGGTGTCAAAAAATTGATACAGACTTTGTTAAAGTGTCATCTGGAATTTCTGCTTTTAGGCAAACTGGACATTGTAAAATATTAAGTGGACTGACATCACCAGTCCAATTTTTAGCAGCCTGAACTTGACGGTCACTCTGGTGCTAATGCTTGCAGCATCTGGTGCAGCATGCTGTTGTAGGCAAGCAGAAAAACCCAGAGTGAAGTTTTAGCACTATATGAATTTTCTCATCAATCAAGTGGATTAGTTTATTTTGCAAAGCAATAGAAACAACATTGGGGGAAGTACCGTAATATTTATTGCAAATGTAGGGGAATTCAAACTAACATTTTTCACATGTCGCACATAATTATTGCAACACGTCTGGATGAAGAACATTTTTGTTCCAAGCTCCAAATGTCAGAATTTTTTCTTTGTAGTTTAGGATTGACGGCAGTGCATTGACTTCATCCAGGACTGCTCACCTAGAGCCAGAGAGGAGGGCTCTGCCCCACTAGAGCAAGAGCAATTAGAAAGAAAGAAAAACTAACATTCACTTTGTTTTTACAGAATGAGCTCTGGATGTGCATCAACTCTACACTCCCAGGTAAGGCAAGACTGCTGACAGACACTGACAGGAGTAACAAAGAGATTAATTGCAATTGTGTTACATTGTTAATCACTTGTTTTACACAGCATTTTGTCCTAAATGGCAGTATTAAGAGAATACAAGAAAATTATAAATCAGGTAAAAACAGAGCTAAAAATGAAGTGGTTCCTGAAGCATACAGATTCTGCACAGATAGTCAAACTTCCAAGTTGGCTCCTCAAAACATTCATTGTCAGAATGTGCTGGATCCCCCAGGACTGTCTACAGAGTTATTGGGTGAAACCAGGACAGATGCAGACAAAGAAATAACCGATTCTCTGGTCCTGTCCAGCTCTCCTGTCCATCTGCTGGCCTGGTAGTGTACAGCCAGAGTCCTACCAAACAATATATCTGCTATTGTCACCAAATCCCAGAGTTAGTAGATCCACTGATACCATGTGATTTTCAGAAATGAGAGGTTTGTCCTCAGTACAAACCTGAGGACAAAGGTTTGTACTGAGGCTTCTGTAACAGAAGTGGCTTCTGTTACAGGAAGCCACTTCCTGTAACAGACAAACCTCTCTGACCACAATGTCCTGACCACAATGTCCAGTCTCCTGTGATCTCAAACAGTTCATGGAGAATGAATATCTAGAGCTGGCTTCTTTCCACTATGCTTACTAAACACAACACACCTCTGAGCCAGGATGTTTCAGATTATCCAGCTTCACCAGCTCACACTGCAGTCAGGTATTGGACAGACATGCACAATCTGGTAGGTCCCCTTTTGTCATCACCAGTCTGTTTTATTAGCCTTATATACCCTCTTTGTTTTTCAAAGTTGAAAAGCAGGTTAACTTTTCCCCCACATCTCTCAACTCCTTGGCTGAAATCGAGTTGTAGAAAATCAGTACACTATTATGTAGAATGCACACAGAGTCTGCAGAGCTCACAGACTACACACACCTGAGTATGTGGGAGCCAATAGTCTACACAATGTGTTATAAAAATACTAGAATCTGTTTCTTTTTGGCTTTGATAAGGTGATATACCTTATATGTTATGCTAACCCCATTCTGCATGTAATTGCTGAAGGCGTCACTCATCTCCTTCCCTGGCTTGCACTCAGTGATCTGTTCTTTCTGGAGACTCAGGAAACTCAAACTGTAGAATCCAGCAGGAATATTACTAGAGAAGTCAGAGTGGGGACTGATTATGCTTTGTGCAAAATGTTTTTAGTTTGCATAATGAAACCTGTTTTATGTGAAGCTGGGTGTGACAGAGGACCTTCCATTAAGATTGTTTCAATCACATCCTACCAGCGGGGAATCACAAGAACATCCAATAAAACTGTGATAGAATCAACAGGCTTTAAGTCAGGATTAGGTTTCCCTCATCAGTCAAGACTGGGAGTCTGATAGAATAAGGACTGTGCTAAATAGATTCCTTGATTGATACAGCTTCATCAAAGCCGGGCACCAGCAAACCTCACTGACCCCACAAGGATGAGCATGTTGGATAAAGAATGAATGATTGGATAAAGATGCTTTGATCTTTGTTCAAATATCATTTGAACGTTGCAGTTACCATCCTAATCATGGTTGTTTTCATTAAATACTTATTAACAATCTGTAAAGCTTTGACTTTATGAATAATTACATGTAGGTAACCTCAGTCTGCTTGCACTAGCATTGGTAGCTAGTGGGGTTATAGCCAAGCTCAAGAACGGCTGAGCAAAAAAAAAAAAAGGCTAGACATCAAAAGCCTGAATTTTGCTGCCCACACATGGGGGGAAAGAATCATCCACAATGGCCTCCAGATTGGGAAGACTTTATTCTTTTCTTCTGTACCTGTGGAACACTTGGCCTCCAGGCAGTCTCAGGAATGTGCAAAAGCTTTCCTCATTCTGAGATTTGATCGATTCTCTTACACTGCAGAGGAACATCAGTTTCTGTTCAGTCTGCTCAGTGTGCCAGTTTCACTTAATGACATTCCTCACATCTCCACCACAGCTCTCATAAACATCTCTTTGACATTTTGACTTTTACTAAAAAAAAAAAAAAGAAGAAGCAGAACAGATACAAAGCTTATTAATAACTCTTATTGATAAATGGCTTCTCTTTGCTGAAGAATTTTGCATTGTTGGTTGATGCACTGCTGATTGATTTGCTTCCAGGTGTTTCCAAGAAGTCTGATGGTTGGGTTGGGCTTGGTTGTTGTGAGCTAGCCATCGCAGGAGAGTGTCGTAGAGAATGCAAACAGGTCAGATCCTTAGGGTGAAAATGTTTCTCATCATATGATGTGTTTTTCTGTTGACTTTATTTAACCTTTTTGTCCCTGAATGTAATTCAGCACAAAATTGTCTAAATAGATTCATTTGTGTTTTTCTTCTAGGCATCATCTAAAAATGACATAACAAAAGTATGCAAAAAGGTCACCGAGGTAAGGAGAAGCCTCCTGCAACCCACATATTTCCAGACAGATTCAGATTTCTGACAGAGGCAAGCATCAGTGTAGTTGGTTGAAATCTATCAGTAAGAATCTGAGAAAAAGATCATTTTTACTTAATGAGAAAAGCTATAGAAGGATAAGATAAATGTTATCCAAATCAGTCTTTGAAAAGTTATTACTTAAATTATTAATTACCTATGATTGAGCACATATTTCTAGGAATCGGTATCACTTGTTGCATATTGACTATTGACAAGTACAGAAAAACATATAAACCAACACATCATAACCTAATCTTCCTGAAATTCAAGGACATTTCAGGAACAAATTCAGGAACAGCTGACATTGACATAAGAGTCTGAATGGGACACTGGAAAACCAACGGAGAAGACTCAGAGCAGTGACAAACCTTCCCAAAAGTATCTGGTGTACTAATGTTTAAATAATACACAAACTCATCCAGTAGGGCATAAAAGATTTTTGACTTTTCCAGCAGTTGGACACCAGTCAGGATCAGCTGGCTCGATGTCTGTCAACTTCTTAGTGCATCTTTGGTTGATTATTATTTGAGTTATCTGAAAGTCAGTGGCAATTATCTTGCTATGTTTTTTCCTTCTCTCTGCTTAGAACTCTCTCTACAGCTGCATCACCAAAAATGAAAGTAAGTTTGTAGTTTCATGCACTAAATAATGACCAAATAAAAACACAAATACTAACATAATATTTTGCTAACACACACACACCCCAATAGAACATTTGTTAAATTGATGGGTTTATGTGTATTCCTGTTTCTAGGATTCTTGGACCTGGTTCATAAATCACCAGAGAATACTTCACAGTCTATGATAGAATGATGAAGTTGGAATTACAGAAAATGCTTTTATCCATTTTCTCAGACAATCCCTTGGGTTTATCTTTCAGTGGGTTCGGCATGCTGTGGTTTTGTGGGCCGTCACACCAACTGCAGGGACTTCTGCGATGCCATATTCAGGACAGACTCGACGCCAACAGAATCCCAAATCAAGACCGTCAAAGACTTCTGCAAGAGTCACAGCCCTAAGCTCGTCGAATGCGTCAACAACTTCACCGAGTCCTACCCTGCTCGCAGCCCCATAGACAGTATGTCTGGTTTCATCCAACAGACCTGAAGAGCTGCATAGCTTCATATTTTCTCATCATAGAACCAAGATTGGTGATACCTATTGTGTCGCTTAAAGTGCAATATAGCAAAATAATTATCCGCACTTCACCACCATTGACACTTTGCCTGAATGCCCGTTTTGGACCTGCATTAAATTATGGAATATGATTCAAGCTGCCTACAAAATCAGCCTTCGAATGATACAGCCCCTGAATTCGGACACATCTATTCTGTGATAATGACTCCTCTGTCACTCACAGACTCTCACTGAGTGGGAGTCTGTGAGTACAGCTATATCTTAAGTTCTGTTCTTGTAACTGTTTTTTTTAAATAAAGCTGAAATTGACAGCAAAAACTGCAAATGGAAATTCAGCCACAAATTCTTGATGTAGTGCATATCTGTCATGTGCATGCAACCATGTCAGTCACCCAGATACTGCAGCAATGCTGAGTCTTTGCCATGATCTCCTCTAGGTTTGTACTGCTGCGACCGAGCTGAAGCCCCAAACTGCCAGACTGCCTGCCGCCATCTCCTCCGCACCATGAATACAGACCAAGAGATCATGGAGGGCCTTATTAAGGAGTGTGGCACCCAGCCCCTCCCTCAGGATCCAATGTGGCAGTGTTTCCTGAGCAGAGCTCACCCTCCTTCCCCACCCGAGGAAGAGACCCCCCATCCAGCCAAGATGGACTGCGCCAAGCTGCACTGCTGCTCAAAAGCAAACACGTCAGTCTGCAGGTGAGGCGCTATGGAAACTAGTACACCATGCTTTCTGCTGCCTAGTTGTAATGGACTCTGTGCTCCGCTGTCACAGGGAAAAGTGTCACCAGATCAGCACCCACTGGGGCAGCCAGACGTGGCAAGACTTTGATCAGTTGTGTGAGTACAACCCAATGGAGATGGAGCTCATCAACTGCCTGGCAGATGTCAGAGAGCCATGCCAGCTGGGCTGCAAGGACCTGACTTACTGCACCAACTTCAACAACAGGTCACACTCCTAAGCTCACAGAACCTTACATAGCTGATGCATTACCATGACATCACATCTTACACACTTCAATACTGCACAGAAAGATTTCTTTGTTGTCTTGGATCAGTCTCAATATCTCAGTACTGGCTCTTTTGTTTGTTTTAGATCGTATTTATGTTTATAAAAAGTAGCAATAGAGGTGGTTATTCTTCCTTTTTTTTTTTTTTTTTTACAATTTCAGTGTTCTCTTTCTAGTTGTTCTGCTAAACCAGTGCTTCTCAATTATTTTCCGTTACGCCCCCCCTAGCAAGAAGAAAACTATTCGCGCCCCCCACTCCCCACCGAGACTATCCATCTCTGCATAACATTTTTTCCTTAACATTTTTTTCGCTGAAAAAACTCTAGCGGCTTATCGATGTGATTGGGATGTAACGTATTTAATTGACGCGCTAATTTATTTGGCTTCATGCTGTCCGCTGCGAGCATTTTTAGACACAGCAAACACACCGGTCTTTCCTCTTCTCCAACTGTAGTCACAGTGAAGCCAAGCGCTAAATACGCTTCGTTGTATTTCCTCTTCTTAGCTTTCGGTTGACTTTCTGTTGTCTCATTATCTTTGTCTCTCTCCGCTTTTCTTTTCATCCCTGTGAAAAACTTTTTCATGTTGGGGGTTGTTGAATGACGGAGGCCATAGACAGAACGCAGTCGGAGCTTTTTGTTGACTTAACACTGCTAACCAAGGCAAACCTGTTGTCTTGTAAGTCGTAAAATGTTGCACTGGTGCAAACGTGACAGAAGTAACAATGAGAGCGCCACTGCCGCCTACTGTGCGCAATTACACTTTATACTAGTACGGCCAAAAAAAAGCCTGTTCCCCAGGATCACATGCGCCCCCCCAGGTATCGCACCGCGCCCCCTAAAGGGGGCCCGCCCCACTTTTTGAGAAGCACTGTGCTAAACAAACACACATTTTAAAATAATTTATTTGGAACTTATATGACAGGAAAAAATTGCCAGATCAGAAACAAAGAAAGACAACAAAAAACCCCACAAATTTCTGATGATCATTATTTAAATTTTTTTCTAATGATGTACTGATGAAGAAATTCTAATCCCTTTAAATAGTTCTTTCGGAGGTCTGCCTTTGATTTCAGCTTGTTTCCACACTGATCACATGGTACATGTGTGCAGAACAGGGGTGTCAACATCCAGTCCTTGAGGGCCAGTGTCCTGCAACTTTTAGATGTGCCTCTGCTGCACCACACCTGAATAGAATAATAGGTCATTAGCAAGGCTCTGGAGAACAAGGAGGAGGTAATTAAGCCATTTCATTCCAGTGTTTTGTGTCTGTGGCACATCTAAAAACTGCAGGACAGTGGCCCTCGAGGACTGGAGTTTGACACCCCTGGTGTAGAACATTGCCTCCCTCAGCACAATCTGTGTACTGCATGACGCACGGTCCAGCATGCTGCGAGCTCTGTTTCTCCAAGCTAACAGCTAATATTGTGTCAGGCCAAATGAAAACAAACACACATAGACGGGCGCACGCGCAAACACACCACATACGCACATCTAAATGGACCAAAGTACAAACAATAGACTTAGAGACTTAGACTTATTTTTATTGTCATTGCACAAAGAAACATAAGTAAAATTGGAAATTAGATGTCCTCACACACAAAAACACACACAAAAACACAAGTGTGCCTAGGACCCCTCTTATTCAATATTTATATTCTCCCACTAGCTCAGGTTATAACAGAAAATAATATTAGCTACCATAACTATGCGGATGACACACAGCTCTACATTACGATGTCACCAGGTGACTCTGAACCCATCCGATCACTGAATAAATGTTTACAACAGATAAATGTGTGGATGTGCCAAAACTTTCTTCAGCTGAACAGAAACAAAACTGAAGTCATTATTTTTGGACCTAAAGAAGAACAAACTAGAGTCAATGCACAGCTTCAGTTATTACAACTAAAAACTAGCGATCAGGCCTGAAACCTAGGAGTAGTGATGGACTCGGAGTTGAACCTTGCGAGCCACATAAAGACAATTATATTATTGCCTTGTTGCTGAAATGTGCTATACAAATAAAATTTGATTTGATTTTGATTTGATTTGATTTATAATTAAATAATATAAAAATAACAATTACTATTTTCAAACAGTCTCAGACAGTCTTTATGATGGGATTGTTGAGCAGTCCGCTAGCTAGTGGGAAGCAACTATTTCTGAGTCTGGCTGTTCCTCAGCGGATGCTACAAGAGAGTCTCTGATCGGATAAACAGACCATGGAGATGATGGGTGGAATCAGAGAGGATCTGGTTTGCTCTGGCTATGCAGCGATTATGCTCTGGATAGGGAGGAGTGGAGTTCCAATGATCCTCTCCACTGTCTTCACCTCTCGTTGCAGAGATCTTCAGTATGACGCATTGCAGCTTCCAGACCAGATGGAGATACTGCTGGTCAGCAGGTTCTTAATGGCTCCATTGTAGAAGGTGGATAGGATGAGAGGGGGGAGCGAAGCTCGTCTCATTCGTCTCAGAATGTTCAGGCGCTGCTCTGTCGTTGATGAGGAGTGGTGTGTGGTTGGGTCGAGACCTCCTGAAGTCAACAATGATCTCTTTTGTTTTGTCAACGTTCAGGAGCAGTCTTGTGGACTGCACCAGTTCACAAGATGTTGTACCTCTTTTCTGTAGTTCACGTCATTGTTGTCCTGAATGAGTCCCATAATTGTTGTGTCGTCTGCATATTTCATGATGTGGTTGGTGTTAAATCTGGAACGACAGTCGTGGGTCATTAGGATAAACAGCAGGGGGCTCAGGACACAGGCCTGTGGGGAGCCAGTGTTCAAAGAAATTACATTGGAGGTGTTTTTACCCACATGGACTAAGCTCTGTCCGTGAGGAAGTCTAGCAGCCAGTTGCCAGTGGAGAATTGAAGCTCAGGGGGCCCAGTTTGCATATTATTGTATTTAATGCTGAGCTGAAGTCCAAAAACAGCATCTGTACGTGGGTGCTTCTTTTCTCTAGGTGTACCAGGCTCAGATGAAGAGCAGTGGAGATGGCATCTTCAGTCGAGCGATTAGGTTTGTATGCAAACTGGAATGGGTCAAATGATGGAGGCAGTGTAGAGATTATATGACCTTTAACCACTCTCCCGAAGAACTTCATGATGATAGATGTTAATGCAATGGGTCGAAAGTCATTAAGACATGTGATAGTTGTTTTTTTTTTTTAAGTCTTTATTGTCAATTTCACAGGAACAACGAAATTTAAAAAGTGCCATTGGTCATTGCATACGCTTAACAAACTATCTCACAATTTACACACAATGTAAAAAAATAAATAACAAATAGCTGATACACATCATTCAGGATGATTGATGGTTATTTTTGTATTGCATTTAGTTTTGTTATTGCTTTCGGGTAAAAACTGTCTCTAAGACGGTTGGAGACAGTTTTTACCCGAAAGCAATAACAAAACTTAGGTTTCTTGGGTACCGGAATAATAATAGCTGACTTAAGAGGACAATGGCCTGATACAGTGATGTATTGAAGATGCCTGTGAGCACATAGGCTAGCTTGTCTGTACACTCTTTGACCAATAATAAGACTGAGAGTAAAGGAGACAGAAAAAGAGCAAGGCAGGTGTACATACTGACTCAAGGATCAGAGTACTAATATCCTTACTTGTTCACCATGCGACTCAATCATTAAGGTGCTGTGTGTACAGATCACAGTACACTGCTGAAGAGGATGAAGCTATATTTTATTATTCAGTCACAAAATGTGGAACTTCCATCCAAGTGGCACACTTCCACTGGCCTTACCTGAACTGAGAAATGAACAAGTCAGTCAATGAAGTGATTCATTTAAGTTCATGATACATACATGAACGACACACTAGACCCAGAAGTTGTATCCTGTGCATCAGGAAGAAGTCGGATTCAAGCGGTGTGTCTTGGCCTTTCGGGACTTCAAGGTGTTCATGTGACCAGCAAATAAGTTAAAATCATCACAACTGACACTTGGGACAAGATGTTTGTTTTTTCAAATATAGAGCTATGCTTTATGGTCACACATTAATTTGGTCCCAGTTGTCCAAATGTCATTTATCCAGAGGTTTCATGTTTTACATGCAGTTTTGCAGTTCTTCCATATTTTATCTTAAAGTTTTAAATGTCTGTTAAAATAAGTTTAACAGACATTTTCACTTACTCTAACAAGGCGTGTGTGTGGGTTTGTGTATATCTATAGGCCCACAGAGCTGTTCCGTAGCTGTAACATGCAGTCAGACCAAGGTGCCATGAACGACATCAAGCTGTGGTCCAACGGGACGATCAAGATGCCCTTCATGAACATCCCAGTCCTGGACATCAGGAAGTGTCTGCCAGACATGTGGAAGGCGGTGGCCTGCTCTTTGCAGATCAAACCCTGCCACAGCAAATCCAGGGGGAGTGTCATATGCAAGTAGGTCTACTGATCACTACAATATCAAAATCCAAGAGAAAATCCTCAAATGTCATTTATCTTGGAGCAGTTGTTACAAAGTTGCTACAAGACTTTGTAAAAATTAGTTAAGACTGTTAACTATTTAACAGGGGTAAAGCATAAAAAATGACCCAGAATCTTGATTAACTTGAAGAGGAAAAATTGTTCTTATAGGAATGAAGCAAAAGAGCAACTGGAACAAACTTTTAACTTATCTTCCCTCAGTCTTAATGGGGAATATGAGGTTTCTGGCAAATAAAAAGCATAGGACATATGGAGAATCCAAGATTCTTTCCTGGTAAGTTTTAGACCTGGCTGCACAAACAAAGTGGCTGCAAGGACTTGAAGGACACAGATAGGCAGAAACACTATGGCAGAAATCCCACAGCTGTCAGGTATTAACTTCTACTTTGCTGCAGTCTTATGAGGGCTTCTGCCCTCTGCACCAAACAAAAATACCTCAGTATTTTTTTCCATTTGTGCTTACTTGATTTAAAAGTCTTTCTAGTCCACAGTGAACCAGTTTTACTTTGAAAATTATATTCTGTCATTGACAGGGGAGTATTTTACAAACTTGAAATTTTAAGGGGGAATCCTTTATTAATTCAGCTCATTTGAGTCCACTAAAATAGCATTGTTTCACAACGGGTCATCTCAGAAAGGTTTAACCACACCTACATTCTTAACTATGAAACGGTAAATTAAGTTTAGGTCAAAATTCAAATTAGTTCTAAAGCTTTTCTGACGAAGGTTCTCTTTACACAGAGCTGTTTTTCAGTTAAATGGAACATTTACATTTATGTTTCTGGTAGAGGTGCACAATAAATCAGATTGGTGATCGGTGATACTTAAACGTGAAGCCGATCTTATCCACCAATCTTATTTTCGTCAACAGAGGTCTAAATATCAAAGACTGACATCTATTGCTCTGTTATCAGAGAGGTTTGACTGACAGACTGGCCCACCAGGTCATGTCTGCACTGTTACCAACTCAGCCTTTCTTGCTATATTTAGTGACATTTCAGACAAAAAAGTTAGTATCAGCCAAAATCGTAAATTGGCAGATCAGGCTTTTTAAAGATCGTGATCGGCAACAGAAAACTGCAACGGGTGCTCCCCTAATCTTCAGCAATCAGAGATTCTGACACATTGTAATAAAAATGCTTTTTTAATAAAGGTGGGGGAGGGGGGTTGTTTTTGTTTTTGTCTTGTTTTTTGGGTTTTTTTTTTTTGCTTCAGTCATGCATACTTGAAAAAATCCTTGAAAGTCCGGCTACAACCAGGTGGGCTGTCTAAACACTTGCTCATAAAAAGCCCCACCTATTTATCCAAAGCTTCCACCTCATAGAGCACCCTTACCCCTCTCAGATAAGGATGCTTACCAGACTAGTGGCAGCAGCAATTAGAAAACAACTGGTGGTGCTGAGCTATTCATACAAACTACAACTCTCCTCAGAACGGTTGTGAACAGCATCATGGAGGAGCATTGTTCCAATGACGTGTTGAAGGCAGAGTGTTAAAAAGGATAGGAGGTTCTTAAAGAGACAGAAGCCATTTCTAACTCATCAGGAGGCAAAATTTCTTTTAAGTCATGTTTGATATATTTAGCACCTTTGTAATAACTCAAGGTTACATAGTTGTATAAAATGGCACTATGTGGTTGGAAAATACATAATGCTCCCAACTTAAACAATTTGTATATTAGATTTCAGACATCTTGTATTTTCTTTTGACTTTTCTTCTGCTCTCAGGTCAGACTGTGTGGATATTCTGACCAAGTGTGGGGATAAGAAACGCTTTCATGAAGGACAAACCCCAGAGAGGCTCTGTGAGGTGCTGTCTCCCATCGATGACCCTGAACGCTGCATCCCCCTCCACAGATATCTCAGTAAGTAGCAGTTTACAATATTTTATCTTCGAGTGTTTGGAAGGAGCTATTCTTTGCCTTTGTTTTATTAAAGGAGCCTCCTTTAGTCATGAGCATACTGACAAGCTTTAGCCACTTTACCAATCTTTGCTTTCCAGCCAGTTACTGAGAAAGTTCCAGCAATATTTGACTCAATGAATTCATTTAAAATTAAATTTTCATACTGATTGCATTTGTTCTTCAGGAAAAAAATTTATTTGGAATTTTTTCTGTAATGTGATAGTGGCATAGCACAGTCTGTCAGTCATCACTATAATGATATCCTGACATGGAAATGAAGAAGCCATAAGTCCAAATACAGTCATAAGCACCACCTTTAAAGGCAGTAAGTTAAATCATCTACTTTCTGCATAAAACTGTTTTATAAAATGAAACAATTTTTATTTTTTAAACAACCTCTTGGAATTAGTACAGTCAAATAATGTACACCAATATCCACACATAAAGTTTATTTTATGTCTTTATTTGATGTATATGTTGATGTTTAGTAGTTTTTTTGAATAATTAGACATACCCGTTTTGAGTTATTATTTTTGTTGCATTGATGAAGTACTGGTTAAATACATGAGTAACTACACCAATAACATGATCTATATTTAGTTGTTTTTTTGGTTATTGCTGTTAATTTCTCTAAGTTCTGCCTGATCTGTTTAATGTTTCTTTTGAATTGTTAATAGCATAAATAAAAGAGATTGCTTTTGACTTTCTGAGTTCTTTTACAACTTTATTTTTTATGTAATGCATAAACATCTGTCATGTTCCTTTCTACTCTTAATAGTCATCAAGAGTAGAAAGTATCAAAAATCAGATCAAAAATTCCTTTTAATGTTTTAATTGTGCACAAAAAAAGCATGACAAAATGTAAAAACAGCAACTCTTGATGAAACACAGAACTGTGTGATCGTTCGACAGACAGATAGACAGATGGACGGACGGACGGACGGACAGACAGACAGACAGACAGCCAGACAGATAGGAATTTGTAATAATATTCTTCCATCCCACCAGCACCAAGTTCACTGAGCAACACCATAGTGGAGGAGATCATCCATCCATGCAACCCTAATCCATGTCAAAGCAACCACTTATGCCAGGTTAACAGAAAGGGCTGTCTTGATGAAATGAACTGTCAACCATATCTCTGTGTGCCAGGTAGGGGGCGCTGCTGCTGCAGTGTTTGCTAGCTGTTAAGCGTTGTACCTTGGTGTCTTAAGATCTCGGTGTGTTTTAGGTTGTAAAATGGGAGAGGCTTCTGAATTTCTGGTGCAGCAGGACGCTCTCATCCAAGTTCCAACTCGTGATGGAGCTCCCAGTTGCCACGAGATGTGCAGCTGTGGCACCAGTGGGCGCCTGGAAAACTGCGTAGAGATCCCCTGTGTGGAAACAGACAAGAGCTGCGTTGTAGATGGCCAACGAAAGAGTAAGTCGAATGTCTTCTAAAAGACCTCTTATGTCTGATCAAGTACATGTAGGATCAAGTATGACAACAAAATGACCGTATTTGTATAAAACTACCACAGGAGATTTAAAAACATTTCAAATTTGCCCAAAAGGGCAGATTTTTTTTTCTTTCTTCCCCTTTACAATCTGCCGTCAGCAGTCAGCAGTCAATATAACACTGTGAATAAAGACTAGAGACTAGGTATCTCGCTCCAGTCCTCAAGAGTCTATGTCCCACCAGGTGTAGATGTGACTACTCCAACACAGTGTGAAGTGCACAGTTCAGAGACTGAGATCTAGACAAATGTCAGGGAGCAAAATGATCTTTAATACGTCTGCAGAAGGAGAGCAAAAATACACTGCATTAGGTGAAAATCAAAATCTGCTCTAATGATCTTAGAGTTACATAGTTGCTTTATTCACCTCTCTTAGCTAACTGAGGCGGAGATTTAATCTTCAAGGATCAAACAAAGGAAAACAGACAGTTGAAAGTTCAACTTTGTGCACTCATTCACTATCATGTCTACAGGATGCGAAAACTAAACCCTCTTATCTCCATGCAGAGAAGGCCACAGGAAAGACAGCAAGTTCCTAGGCGACCCGTCTGGGAAACTTCAGCAGGCACATCTTGTTTAAATAATTTGTACACCCTCTGCAGCTGCACAGAAAGTCATCTTGACTATGATACAATAACATTACATTTATGTGATACACAAAAGAACACTGTATGATGCAAATAAAACATTTTCTCTTTAAAGAAAAATCTACTTCACAACAGCTAATTCAAAAGGCCCAACTTCCTCCTCAGCAGGTCAAGGTTCTGCAGAGGATCTTCTACTGACAACATGCAGTCTAACTAGGGGAATGGCTTTGTTTATGAGTATATAATGTTAGTTATAAATACATAACCGATGTTCTATACTCATAACAATTAATTTAGCATTTTCACTTTGCTAAATGCTAGAGTAATGAGAGATGGATAGATAAACCCCTGGTAGCAAGATAGTCCATGACAAAGCAGGAGAGACCTCCTCCCACCATCCTTGACCCCCAAGGCACCAGACAGCTGCCTTAGCTGGAACTCAGAAGGACCAGAGGATGGTCCACCAATCTGAGCTAGCTGCAGCAGTCAGTGACAGCACCAATTGTGCAAATATTATTTTATTGAAATGTTTTGTTTTCTGTTTTGTCAAGAAGTTGTTTTCCTTATTTTTATTTTTTTTACTCAATTTAGTTAAATGTTTCTTCATTAGAATTTCTTGACAAAAGTATTTTAACTGGAAGTTCAACAATTTTATGACTTAATTTGTGCATTTTGGAGAAAAGTTGCTGTGTTTATGGTGTACATGTTTCCATCACAACTTTTTTATTTAGATAGGCTTTTAATTCTCCAATGCATGATGGAAATTTTGTGATGGAATATCAGCCAGCTGATATGTCTTCTTTTTGTGAAGAACTTTGGTGACCATTATAGATGAGTGTACAGGGCTACAAGAATAAATTAATTGATTGAATTATTATGCCGCTGTGTAAATTCCCACTCTTATCTATTTTTCTATAACACCATACATTTGCAGGTATTCTTAAACAATAATTTACTGAGAGCTTTTTGACTATCCCCTGATAGAAAGATATTGTGATTATAATGATTACCTTTGTTAATAATTGAATTTACGACGTAATAGTTATCCAAAGCTATTACTGAACAACACCAACGTTTGAACTTTCAAGACTTATCTTGATTAGTGCCAATATGTGGATCCTACTACTGCAGTATTGAATTAAGTTTCATCATGCAGCTATAGCCCCTGAAAAACATTTATTCTGTGTAACTGTAGTATGACTTTGAGCCAGCCCCTTGTCATTTTGAAACATCACTGTAATAACTCTGTCTTCTGTGCGGTACCCTGCTTTTATATGCAAAGTTAGAGGACCAAAAACTTTAAACTACTTTTTTGTGAAATAATGAAGCTTTCAATAAGTCTTTTGTTGCTTGCTCCACCATCAGACCACGGGACGACCTTTAGGACTGACTGCAACACATGTTCCTGCTTCGCTGGAGAAACAATCTGCTCTACCAGGAAATGTCCCACAGAAAGTGTCCATTGGACTTCTAATGGTTGGCATCTTTCATGATTTCACTTGGGTTGGGCAATATTCGACGAGGCTTTCAAATAGATAAACTGTCAGTTGGCCAAATTTCATTGGCTCATGTGTTTATGTGTCCTGATGTGTGAGTTCTAACTCGCTCTCTTCCTCCTTGTCTTTCAGATTTGCCCTGTAACTGCCCATATCGTTTCATCCCAGTGTGTGCTTCCAACGGGCGGACCTATCCCAGTGGATGCGTGGCTCGTTGTATGGGATTCAAAGACCACCAATATGTCTTTGGCCCCTGCCATTCCATTAAACCTTGCTCTGACATAACCTGCCAGAGAAACCAGAGGTGGGTTCAGTAAACAATCAGAACAGATGTTTAGACTCCTTAACACATCGGAAAGCACTTCTATTTTCTAACCTTTTCTGTCCCTCCACCCTCCCTGGACAGACATCTTGGTTGTTATTTCAGGTGGTTTGATTTTGTCTAAGCAGACCCACTGACCCCATTTGATTCACAAACCTTCTGATGTCCCCGGTCTCCTATCTTTAGCCTCCTCACCCTGAAAACAAATGCCCTACAGCTTTCAAAGCTTCCTGTCCTCTACAGATTTGTGGATCTCAGATACCACAGATGAAAAAGGCCTAAACATTAGAAAACATCAGAATGAGACCACCCACTTATTTTTCCCGGGAGTCATTTGAGGGTTTATTTCATGTAAGCTGAAGTGCCATACATTGTAGATAAAACCATTTACAATACATGATAAAACCATGTATTGTAGATAAAACCATGTAGATATAATAATGTATAACATGTCCTTTAACATGTGATTATTATACATTTCCTCCACTTAACCAGAACAAATGGTGTGTGATGTTCCTGTCCCTGGAACCACTGCAGCTGATTTAATGGTGAGGCCTCAGTATTCTAGAGCCAGGTCCAGATTTCTCCCTCTTGTGGGAAGTGGCTTGAGAACCTCTAGCCAGTAGTGATGGCCAAATTAAAAAGTCAACAGAAATTCATAAAAAAATTCAAGTTCTCATTGCCGTGACGCAGTTACACAAAAATCTGTTTTTTGTGTATTGAGCTGGGTTCTCTTCCCAGCTCATTGCTTCACCCAAAGGTTAATTACTCAGTGGTTTATACATTTCTCACCAGTGACATATGTTGTTGAAACTGTGGCAGGCTTGTCACTCAGATAGACATACTTAAAAAAATTAGTAAAATACAATATTGTCACAAACTTTTTGTGAAACTCATGTTTTGTAACAGCAGAGTTAATTAAGTCTTATTTAAGTTATTAAAATTATTTGTAGCCAATCCTGGTAGATCTTGACTGTCAGTGGCTGTTCTCTTTTGTCGTTGACTGATTTGACAATAGATATTTATTTTAGTGTATTCAGAGTGCAATGCTTGTTGGGGCAGACAGTATTTTTTGAGTTTTGATTTGCCTCCTGAAAAACTACAATTGTTAAAAAATTATCTTTTTCTTGGATTTCTATTGGCTCTCTGATCTAATCTCTTATACTTTTACTCCTCAGGCCAGGATTTTAATCTTCTAACAACTTTAGTCTTTTTCAGCTGTGCAAGGCAGATATATCTTTGCATGACAAAGAAATAGTGGGACTTTCAAAAAGGTGAGAATATTGGAAGTGAAGGGGTTAGTTATTTTTATTTAAGAATCTTGTGAGTGATCATCTCAAAGTATTCCCAGATGTCAGATTTTGTCTTCTTGCTGCCTTTATTTCAATCAAGTTTATTTGTGTAGCACATTTCAGCAGCAATGCAGTTTCAAAGTTCTTTACATGATAAAGACACACAAATATAAAGTCATAAAATACACCATAATCAACAATTGAGAAAACCGGTAACAAACATTACATTTTGATGAGTGTCATCATCAAAATTATTGATTTTATACATGAACTATAAAAGGTTTCTTTTATTTTGGCCACTGCTGAAAACAAATACTCCTCTGATGCGCGATCAAATACAATAGGCCATGCCATGAAGCAACACGACTCATCACGCTTTTAGTTTGAAAACCAACACACAAATTGATGCGGTCATGTGACCCATGCAGTATGAGGCATCATTTGATATCAGTCACATGGTTTTCAGCAAGACCCGTCAGAGGCATGGAAGGGCAAAAAAACAGTCAGTGTCAGGATGGAGATTCACTTTAAAGAATGAAAAAAAAACTAAATTTAATTTAGTGTAATCTATTTCTCCTTATTATCAGGCTGCATTTCTTTCTTTAGTCATAGACACAGCAGATGAAGAATGGGTCAAAGATATAGAGACTTTTTATCTTTTATCTTTTCATCATTAATTGAGTCTCACCTCTGCATTTTTTTCTTTGCATAAACTGAGTGTGTTGACTCAAATGTGACTTCTTTTCCTTGAGCTTTTAAAGTAAACAGATCCATCTGTGTCCTTTTTGAACCACTGCCTACCATTTAGAATGAGTTTTAATACGCTTCTGTTGAAGTTTCATTTCTATGGTCATTTTTGGCTTTTCTCTCCAGGGGTCGCCTCAACCAATCATCTACTGTTTGTGTTCTCTATCTAAACATCAACTAACTTCTTGTCCTTGTTTACCACATCCATAATCTTCTTATTGGTCTTCTTCTCTTTCTGTTGGGTGACTCCAAGCTCAGCATCTTTCCTTAGCCTGACTTAATCTCCAACACATCCAAAACCTTCTTATCCATCCTCCTCACTCCCACAGATTTCACCACATCACTCTGTGTAAACCATGGAATACCACTGCTCTCACCACTGTCGCCTGTCAGTACTTCTCCCTTACAACCCCTATGATGCTGCGTGTCCTACTGTTTATATGAATGTTTTTAGCATTCGTCTCCACAGTGATAGCAATAATGGAAGAGACCTTGCATTTATTTTTTAAATACACAAAGAGAAATGATGACAATTTTGGATTCCTTCTTTTTTTTATCAGAAAGCAGTGCTGATTGCTATGAGTTGAATTTGACAAGAAAATGTTAATAAAAAATATTCTCAGACACTGAGAGTATTTTTTTTGTATCCAAAGGCCCCTGTGGAGTGAAAATGGAAGGACACTTAAAAGTTAGCAGAAAAGAATTAACTGATTTGGTTATTAATTAAGTTGATAAAAAATAATTTTGTTAAAGATACAGTATTAGAAAAAATCTTAATTTCAAAACTTTATTAAAAGAACAGAATATATCTATTATGAACTATGATGCAAACCTTAGAACTGAATGTATGTTTTTTTGCTTTATCATGGCTGAAAATGAAGAAATTGTATTTGTGTGCTTCGGTCAGGTGCATCCCGAGGCGGCGTGTTTGTCTGAGCGACTCTTCGGACTGTCCGCAGTATGAGTGCATTGGTCGGCCAACAGTCTGCGACAGAAATAGCATGGAGCCGGCTTGTGACATTGATGGCCGGGTACATCGTAGCCTGTGCCATCTGCAGCAGTCTGGAAAGACTCTGGCCTACATGGGGCACTGCCAGGTAGGAGACACAGGACTGAGGAAGACTCCTGTAGGATTCTTATAGGAAGCAGTTGCAGCATTTACTTTAACAGGCCCTGTAATAGCACAAAGTCCTGATCATCTTCAGAAATGTTATTGTTCTTTTCTTTCACCTTCACAGCTGCTGCTATGATTTTTTTAGAGCTTAGAAAATCTAACCCAAACTCTGTCTTTAGGAGGCCTGCAAGAAGAAAAAAGAAGTGTGTGGTCACAACGGTGAAACGTACAACACGGTGTGTGAGGCCTTCTCTCACCGTGTGGCTGTTGACTACGAGGGTCCCTGTCGTGCCGTAGGGGCTCTGTCGGATTTAGCTCTAGATTCAGTGTGTAGTGAGGTGTCCTGTCCACCGATATCAAGCCCAGGTTGCCACCCCATAATCCCACCTGGTGAGCATAGCAACACCAAGCAGTAGCTAGAAGAGTCCACAAGGGACAGTGTGGCCCCTGATGTTTGACTTGTTTTCCAGGAGCCTGTTGTCCCATATGTGCCAGTATGCTGCAGATCCTCTGGAGCCAGAAGCAGATTAACACTTTCTCAAAGGTACGAGATATTCATTCTGATAATTCCACAAACTCAACCTTCTGGATGCTCCTTAGGCAAATAAGGTCATATATGCCTACCTTAAATTACCTGTGACTGATATAAACAGCATATAAGTTTTTTTCTTCAAGAAGAAAATCAAAATTTTTGTGACTTTTTTTAAAACCTATGGAATAGATTATAAGTTGCCTTTATTATCTCTCTGTGGGGAAGCTCAGTTGTATCAACAGCAAAGTGTCAGGCAAGTCAAATCATTTATATTTACGTAAAAAAAACAAACATACAATCTGAAAAATAACAAACTGCAGAATACAAATTTACTCCATGAGAAAATACTGTGCAGTTATTAAAAATAGCAAATTCCAATCAAAGGAATACACAACTGAGAAGAAAAATGTAAAAAAAAATAAAAAAAATAAAAAAAGCACACTATGTGCATATATATTACTGCATAATAAATAGGACAAAGTTAATTGTAAAATATCTAAAGGTTGAAATTGTAAATTTTTCTTTCTGGTTAAATAAAGATTAAATAGTTTTTTTCACAACAAGTATGTTTTTTTTCAATTAGAAATATTTCTTTATTTTTATTTATTGAAAGAACACTAAAGAACAAAACGAGTTTGCATTGTGTGCCTGCAAAGGTTGGAGGTTGTCTTTTCTCAATGTATCCACTTGGGGGTGCCATAACTCCATAATGTGTCAAACCCATTGGCATTGCCAATTATCATGTTTGTTTGGCTTCAATAGTTTGTCTCATGCCTTTGATGAAATGAAAAACAGCTAAAAAATGTCATGAGTTTTATATGTATAATTTTTTTAAGAGTCAATGTAACCCCGTTTCCACACGAGTTTAGTAGGGGGTTAGGGGTGGGGGTCTTTTTGGGTGGCAGGGTAAATAAGGTTTTGCTTTAATATAAATACAGAAACAAACCTGTATGTAACAAATAAAATAAGCATGTCTATAAGTACAATATAAACAATAAGGATGTAAACAGTGACATGTATAAAATGTTGAGTAATTATGTTGGAAGTTTGCATAAAAATTAGCTCAGATGTTGCAAAAATTTAAGTATCTAATGCTTCTAATTTCTGAAGTTTATTTCTTTAAATGCAAAATCAGTCTACGTAGCAATAATAATATTACTCAAGTAAACAACAACAATAGTACAGTGCAGTAAAACTACTCATATAACTATCCTTTTTTCCAAAAAGTTACTCAAGTGAATGTGGGCCTAAGCAAAATTTGGTTTTGGGGCCCTCTAGTTTTGCTAACAATGTGGACTGGCTGCAACCAGCAGTACAATCATTAGCTCATTCACACAACTGCTATAAACCTTTTGCATCTCCGGCAGTGCTGTTTACATTATATACATGTATAATAGGATACATTTATCCTATTATACATGGATAATAGGATCCATGTATAACAATGAGGGCTGACTCCTTGGCAAATAAGCTCATAGGTAAAGATCCCAAAGCATTCTGGAAAGAGGTTAAAACCATTAATAACAGTAGACCATCTCTCCCTTGCACTGTCGATGGTGTTTCTGGGACGAATATGATTGTAGATTTTTGGCAACATCACTACAGCAAGCTATTTACCTGTGTACAGAGTGAACCCTTCCGAGTTGACAAGGTTAGTACTGTAGAAACTATCAAAACTCACGAGGTTTATCAAGCAATTAAAGATTTGTCTGTAAATAAATCCATAGGAAAGGATCTTATTTCAGCTGAACATCTGAAATTTGCAAGTTCTAGGGTAGCCCCTCTTCTTGCTTTGTGCTTCACTGGTTTTATTATGCATGGCTTTATTCCTGATTCCTTGATGAATGTTCTTCTACTTCCTGTGATTAAAAACAAAGCTGGTAGAATTGGCAGCTCTGATAACTATAGACCTATAGCCATTGCTAGTACACTGTCTAAAGTCTTTGAACTAATTCTTTTGCCTAAATTTGAAAAGATAGTTATGTCTACTGATAATCAATTTGGGTTTAAGTCCAAACATGGCACTGATATGTGTATATATGGCCTAAAGAATTACTGAATATTATACCAGCAAAAACTCTACAGTCTTTTTGTGCTTTTTAGACGCCACGAAGGCTTTTGATCGTGTAAATCATAGAAAATTATTTTTAAAATTGTGCCAAGCTGGTGTGCCCAAATATATAGTAAGATGTCTGACATATTGGTATACCAATCAAACTATGCAGGTCAAATGGGACAATTGTATATCTGCATCCTTTCGTGTCAGCAATGGAGTCAGACAAGGTAGCATTTTATCACCCATGTTATTTAACTTTTATATGAATGATCTCTCTAAGCAGCTCAACCTGTGTAGAACTGGCTGCATGGTTGGCGATACCATTATTAATCATTTAATGTATGCTGATGATATAGTGATTTTTAGTCCAAGTTCAGCTAGGGTTGATGTTAAATTTAATCCATCAAAAAGCATCATCTTGATCTGTCGCACCAAGGAGGACAAATATAGCAAATTTCCAACTTTCAAGCTGTCTGGGACTCAATTGAATGTCTCTAATGAAGTAAGATATCTTGGTCATGTGTTGACAGACACTTTGTCTGATGATGCAGACATTTACCGACAGGTTCGAATGCAGTATGCTCAGGCAAATATCCTGGTCCGTAAGTTTGGCTTCTGTACTGATGAAGTGAAACTGCATTTGTTTCGATCACATTGTACATCATTGTATACAGCACATTTGTGGTACAATTAAAAAAAAAAACAGTCTTCAAAGATTGAAAGTGGCTTTTAATGATGTTTTAAGACTTTTGTTAAATAAGCCCAGATGGACCAGAGCCAGTGAACTGTTTGTATCTGCTCACGTTAGCACTTTTATGGCTGTTTTAAGGAAGCTTATGTATCAATTTATTTGTCATTTAAACGAGTCTAATGATAGAATTATTCTATTGTTGACGAATGTTAAATATAGTGCCGTAAAATATTCATCTGCACTCTGGAGACATTGGTATGATTGCCTCCTGATGGGTTAGTTGCCATTTTTAAATGCACTTTTTATTCTTTTATTTTTTCTTTTCTTTACTTTTTTGTATATTTGGACTTTGAGTCTGTGTAATAAATCAATCAATCAATCAATCAATTGGCCAACTGATTTATTGACAAGTTGATTTCTAGGCACCAATTTCCTTAATTTTGGGGGATTGTGATTGGTTGATACTTACATGAAGGGGGCAAAATTAAAAATTGGTGGCTGGTGGAGAACATTTTTTACTGGCTACTCAGAAATTTCACCAACCACTGATTTTTCTCTTTCGATTACAAACCCCACTGTACAAGCAAGTTATATAAAATATATGATTTATTCTTAACTCTATGAAAACCGATTTACCTACAATAAATTTGCCATGCATACATACGTATACAGACTAATTTAACATAGCAAATCATGAAGACCTTAACAGAGGCGTAAAGCAGTAAGTTCACTTGAAGTAATTACTAACAGCAAATTTAATTACACAACCCTAGAATTCTTGCAATCATTTCCTATGTTGAACATTTTCACATTTTGGCTCCAACTCCCTCCAACTATAGTATTAAGTTAAGATGTGTCTTGTGATTTTTAAAATATTTTTAAATGGTTCCGATTTCTAACTGTTCTATTTGTTTTCTTTTACTTATTACGTTTTCTATTGAAATTCACAATTATACTAAAAAATCTCCTGTCCTCTCCTCTCATCTCGTGTTCATTGTTAATTCCACGGCCGTCATTATTCATATGTCATCCCAGAGTTTTCCAGCCTGTCTGCCAACTTAGCAGACACTTTCCCCACTCACTCACACCGGCCCTCTGGCCTATTCGTGTACATGTTCACTCCTTTTTACCAGGCAGAACCAGCTAATCCTCCTCCAACAATAATAGACTTAGACTTCCTTTATTGTCATTGTACAAAAAAAACACAAGGTGAATCTTGACAACGAAATGTCGTTACTTGGCTACCAGTGTAGCAGAGCTAAAACCTTATACTACACAATAAATAAATAAATACAATACAAGTGCCATAGAATACACAGGTTCAGTGTTGTGAAAAAAACTAAAGTGCATGTATTGACCATGTCCATAGGGGGGTGATTTGGTTTGTGAGTGTGTGTGTGTGTGTGTGTGTGTGTGTGTGTGTGTGTGTGTGTGTGTGTGTGTGTGTGTGTGTGTGTGTGTGTGTGTGTGTGTGTGTGTGTGTGTGTGTATTAGTCTGTAACCCAGACTGTCAGTCCTGTCCTGTTTTTCTGTTCAAATTGCATTGCTCCAATTTACACCTCACTTAATACTTTTACCCTCATTAGGCTTTTTAAAGATCGGCAACCAGGCATTGGCGATTGCTGCAGCCAAACTTAAGATATTCATGACATTCTTTGATGAAGTAAAATTCTCACCTCGCCTCCCTGGTGAGGTGTGCCCAGAACACCTCACCAGGGAGGCGTCCAGGAGGCATCCTGACCTGATGCCCGAGCCACCTCAACTGTCTCCTTTCGATGTGAAGGAGCAGCAGCTCTACTCTGAGTCCCTCCCGGATGACCGAGCTTCTCACCCTATCTCTAAGGGAGAGCCGAGACACCATACGGTGGAAATCCATTTCAGCATTTGCAACCTCGTTCTTTCGGTCATGATGAGGAAAGTAGATTTTGACCGGTAAATCGAGAGCTTTGCTTTGTGCCTCAGCACCCTCTTCACCACGACAGGCCGCTACAGTGCCCGCTTCACTGCAGACGCTGCACCAATCCACCTGTCAATCTCCCAGTCCCTTCCTCCCTCATTTGTGAAGAAGATCCCAAGATACTTAAACTCCTCCACTTGGGCAGGACACCCCTCGCCCCCGGTTCCCATTTTTGAGCAGGGGTACCATCACCCCAGTCTACCAATCCGATGTCCATGCAATATTGCAGAGCCAACACAACCCAACAACTTCCAGAGCCTTAAGGAACCCAGGATGAATTTCATCCACCCCCAGGGCCCTGCCGCAGAGGAGCTTTTTAACCACCTCAGTGACTTCATCACAGAGACTGGAAAGCCTGACCCAGTGTCAATCCCACCAACATGCCTGTTGGTGGGATTGAGGAGATCTTCGAAGTACTCTGTCCACTGGCCCACAACGTCTCGAGTTGAGGTCAGCAGCACACCATCCCCACTATAAACAATGTTGGTGCTGCACTGCACCAACACTCCTTGGATGCCAGATGGTGGACCAGAACCCAGGCTAACCCTCGAAGCCATGTGGAAGTCTTTCTCCATGGCCTCTCCAAACTCCTCCCATGCCCAAGTTTTTGCCTCAGCAACCATAGTTATTATTACTAAAAAGAAAAGAAAGGGCAACTGAGTGGAGCCCTTAGTGGCCCTGGGGCTCTAAGCGGCTGCTTAGTTTGCTTTTGCCTTGGGCCAGCACTGCCTGTAGTGCCCGCTTTTGAAAATAGATAATATCAGTTATCTTTGTTAACAAGATAGCATGTTAACAAACTTAACGTGATATATTGGCATTAGCTAGACATGCATTCAACAGCATTACTCAACTCGGTTTGTTTGGGGGGGCAGGGGGGGAGAGAAACTCTGCAAAGTTATTTTATGGCAGCAACTTATGGTTTGCTGCCATAATTCTAATACACACCTGTGAAACTCATTGGGCCTGAGTCAATAGTTATTCACTTCTTCCTGGAATGATTTCTCATTCCAGTGTTTTTGAGACATACAATTAGTTTGTGGTTAATAATACGTTCCAAACTTCATCCCAATTGTTGTGCATAAATCATGCACAACAATGTAGTGAAAATACCTATTAGTTTGATAAAGTAATGCTTTATTAATTTTTGACAAAATTAGAATTTAAAAACCTTTTGGGTAGTTGATTGTTAATCTATTCATCAGTCACAGCTGTAAAAAATCTGGGAAAATTCAATAGGAATGTGTCTTAAAGAATCTTATGTTTTTCTGTTTTAAACAATTTCTACAGCTGAAAGTACAATCAGGAAAACACTTTGGAATAAAGGACTCCTAAAATATCTCCAGCTACTTCTAACTCAGCGAGAAGGGAAACTCTGGTAAAATGGACTAAACACACAAAATGACTCTTCATTAGTTAGTGCCCTTCTAAAATATGTTTAGACCATTGGCCCTAATCAGTGATCAAACTTAAATTCTGTTTGAGTTGTTAAATCACTGCTAGTGTCAGCTGCACCATGCTGCAAGCCTGCTGTGCTTGGAACAGTTTGAAATATTAATGCCAATACAATGAAATGCACAATAAACAAAAAACTTAAGTTGTTTAAGCTATTTTATTTTTGCCTGGACCCCTCTTACTTGAAGAGAGTTCCAGCGAACAAGGTTCAGCTTAGCTGGTTGACTGGGTACATTTGTGTAGAGAAACAGGCCTCAACCTTAATACAGCGCCGTGGACATGCTGGCCACTTAGCATTTCATTTATTCTCAAAACATGCAAAGCTACTTTTCTCATTTTTGTTTCTCATATTAATAATTTCTTATATTAATTTCAGATTATTTTTTGTTTGCTCTGATTGCAGACTAAAGAGTTTAAAAAATATTTTTTGAAACAGTCCTAGTCTTGTTTAGCTGAATGAGTAGTGAGTGTCTTGTTTTCTCTGAACCAGGCTTTTAGTGAATTAATATGGAGCAACAACACACTTTACAGACAGAAAATGTCAACTTCTGAGCTGACATTTTCAGAGAGGAAACGGTTTGGTGACAGTTTGAGTGTTTGATGGTGTGTTTTGTTCAGCTGAACAGGAACCAACCGATGACCGTCTACAACGTCCTGCAGATCCTACGGCTCCACATCTCCGTGCCGCAATGTGACGTCTTTGGCTACCTGAGCATTGACAACAGGCTGGTGGTTCTTGTTGCCCCGGTGGATCACCAACCAACACTTCTGCAGGTGATACACAAATAAAGTTATGTTCAAAATGATGTGTTTGAAAAAAATTATTTTTTCAAACACTCCTCGAAGGAGAGTCCACCACATCATAATCTAGGTCACCATGTGTGCTTTCATGAGGGTTTTGTGTGTGTGTGATTTTGGGAACTGACCATCTGACAGGACAACCACCCCATTTCCTGCTGAGAGCCAGGATTCCATCTGGACATGGCAGCATCACACAGCGAATCTTTTCTTTTTCCTTGGGACTGCCGACCAGTCTTTCCATACCTACCAGTAGCATCTACCTTTTAACTGATTTGGTCATGATGCAGCGAAGTAACACCCTGTCTGTGCACAATACAAGCGGCTGCAACTCATTCGTGGGTTTTCCTCAAGCAGGAAAAGATAGAACACTCTGTGTGGAAACAAAACATGGATGTCTTTGACAGTTGAGTGGAACCAGAGTTTTTCTGTTGCTTTGCCTAACAGTTTGTGCTTTTTCATTTTCTAATTTGTTTTATTTACAATGACTCAGACACCTTGCCAACACAATCTGGTTTACTGTTAATTATTCTCATCAAAAATATTCATGATCACTGGAGGGGTGAGAACTTATCTGTCTTCTTTAGCTCTTTACCTTTTCTCCATTTCTTTGCCATTCTTTGTTCGTCATGACAAAGTAGTTTTCATGGCTGGTAAAGTCAAGTTTGAAGATTTTCAAACCACGGCATATTTTTACTAAATCACATAATATACCTGTGATCCTGGGTTAAAGTTATATTCAGAATCATCCCCAACAAGTCTACTTCCTTTTTCTTTTGAGTTAAATTTTTATCTGAATATGATTGAATTCTTTCTCATGTTCTCACAACCAGATACCACTCCTGCCTTTCTACTTGGAACAAAGAATTGTTCTACAGAAAGCTTTTGAATCCAAGGAGAAAAAAACCCTAATTTCTGTGTTTTGAGATTAGTGAAACAATAATAAATTTATGTCTAGTGGCATTTGCTGAGAAGCACTAATAGCATATTGCCATTTTCAGCTGCAACTCTATTTTTATTCAGATTTTTGGTCTTTTGTTCGATAAATATGTGCTCTGCAATTATTAGAAAAGACTGACTGCACCACTGCTAACATTTAAATTCTGCATAATCTGCTTTCCATAACAGTTGGAAACCAACAGGCCTCTATTAATGTGAGTTAAAGTTGATGAAGCCAAGCTAAAAAAAAAAAAAGGCTGACTGGGGTCTTTAAAAATTATTTATAGGCACAGCTGTAGTTCGCTGTAATCCATTTATTTCAGTATCAATACATTTGACTTATGAAGAGAATATCCAATGTAGAAAAAATACAATGAGAAAAATAGAAGCTATGAATGTTTCTATATGTTCCCTTAGCATTTTCTGAATGATACATAAACTTACATCTGAAGAATTATTCGGGGTATTAACAACAATAGTGTAAGGTTAACAATAACAGTTACACACTCATCCAACATATTTATCCCAGTGAGATGAGCACCTATCTCCAGTTGTCAACGGACTGGTCACCCTGGATGGGTCACCAGTCCATCACAGTGTAGATACAATACAAACTCTCAGTCTGTGGTAGAAAGCATCCTATGTCTTTGTTCAAATTCAAATTAATTAATTCTTGCAGTTGTAAAATGTACAGTTGTAAACAGTGAGATACAACACTGTATTAGTGGATATCAATTTCAGAAATTGTTTGTTTGGTCTTGTTCCATTAGGCTAAGCAACATCTGTTTCTAGGAGCAGTTGTGCTGTTTGTCCCTGCTGGCTGGACCAATCAGGTTCCAGAGTTAGCTGCTCGCTCGATGTTAGCTCTTCTAAGAATGGAGTAAAACTTTCTAATTTCTGTCAGACTTTCAATTATGTAGCGGCATCAAAGATGATCAAAGATGTTTTTGTGTTTTCTAGGGTCTTAGTTTTATTTATTTATTTTTTCCTTATCTCAATTATGTCATAATTGTTTATGTTGAGCTAAACATAAAATTAACACCCTCAGCAGATCCAGGTTTTGAAAGCCTTCCAGTTTAGAAGGAAAGTAACCCAGGTGTAAATCTGTGCCTCATGTCAGGCCTATGTTCTGAGGAAAGACCCAGAATATCTGAAGCTTGATATATTTATCATCCTCACAATGTCAGCAAAAGTGTCCAGTACTATGAATGCTGGGAGGATGCAGTTTTAGCAGTAGGATTTTACAAACACAAAGGCTCAGCACAGAGAAGAGGAGAAACCTTGGAAGAAATGCAAGCATTTAAAGTTGATGCCCATAAACTGTCCCTACAGTTAAGACAATCCTCTACAGCTCAGCTTTTAGTTTTGCCTGTTGCCAAGCAACAGCCTCACTTACTAGTTTTAATTATTTGATAAACACTCCTAGCGCTTTGTACATTTCAAATTATGTTTGAATGCGGTTCACTTTACAGGCAAACTATGGACAAAATGCTCCAGATGTTTAAAGCTTTTAGTGATTTATACGTACAACTCATTGGCAGAGCACAGGAAATGGTTTCACCAGCTTTGAGTGAGTTCTCTTAGTCCCATCCTGATGTACATGCTTTATATGGATGGTGTATAATGGCAGCTTGACTCTAATGCCAAGGACTGTGCGAACTCAGTGTGGGTTGTTTCTGAGAGAAAGAAGCTGACTGCTTTGAACCTGCCACTAATGGAGTCGTTATAAAAACAAGCATAAACACTCAAAAGTAATTCCAAAGCTTTCTGTGATATAAAACAGAAACTTTTAAAATGTTATTTAAGTCATTATTAGGAGATTACAATATAAGTAGATTTTAAAACTTTATTTTAATTGTATTTCAAGGTGGAGTGTTCAAACAAAAAATCAGTCTGCATAATCCAGCTTGGAGGGAATAAAGGGAATGTGTGAAAGTGGAGTGGATCCAGTTGCTCTCTGATGTTCCAGCTGCTGCAACATGCCAATACAGACCTGACATTCTGAAAGGTTTACTCTACTTTAGCGCCATCTGTAATTCTAGCAATCCACTACAAATGGCTGCTTTAAAATGCTAACTTAAAGCAGCCAAGATATCAGTGAATGAATTGTGGAAATTGCTCTGTGAATCAGTGATGACGATGAGAAGAGCGTCTTCTAGTTTTAGGTGATCAACCAGCATCTGATGTTTGACATATTCAGCTGCATGTCATAGCAGTATGTAGCACCCAAGATTAATGAGCCATTCAAAGTCACCCTATCAACAGATTTTATTTTATTATCTTTGTTTTTTCATTAACATAAATGTTAGCTACCAGTGAGGATGAACGTTATCAACTTAATAGTTGTTTAGCCTACAACTGTCACCTGTCAGCAGGCTAACCATCAGCCACTGTTAACATGCCAGTTGAAGAGGTAAGGCAGTTTTACTTTTTACTTTTGAAGACAAAGCTAGGTGTAAATATGAGCTGCTGCTTTCATATCAGCTTTGCAAATGTAAATATTATAGAATCGCAGAAAAGTCACTACTAAGATTATAATTTCTGATTTCTGTTTTCACAGAATTAAGACGCTCCTGTAATACACTGCAGTTTGTCATTCGTCTTGTGTGTAACAAATATATTCTGTTGGCTTTGAATGGATTAAGTTTGGGATTAAACCGGGACCATAATTTTTAAATTAAGTGGCTTTATTTATAGTATAAAAACACTGCATTTTATTTAACAATCAAAGCTACTACTACTAAATTAAAAATAAAAATTGGTCAACAAAGCAGCTTCTAAAAACTGAAGAAAAAATTTATTATCCAAAAACAATCTCTAAATGTAGACATGAAAAAAAATTATTAAATTAAATGTCTATTATCAGGTAAGCGAGTATGCAGAAGACTGGATAGAATTAATTTAAATTGAAATTCAAAAATACTTTGTTAAATCAATAAATACAGTAAATTCATTTACAAACCTGCTGGGAAAAAGAATAAAATGTTTGCAGAGAAATTAATATTTTCAATACTGTCTCCGATTGTTTTCAGATGACAAAAAGCTGAGGTTAGAGGCTCCGCTATCCTGCTCAACCTATAATGCTTTCTTATTTTTGTGGCAACATTTAAAAAGCATTTTTGCAAAAGTAAAATAATAATAATAAACAGTCTGTTTTCATCATTTTTCACAAAAGCCTACTGTAAAATATTATTTACTTACTCTGTGTTTTTAAAGACAAGTGAAATTAAAAAAATATTAATAGTGAAAGAATCGTGCAGAAAGCAACAGTCTTGTGTTTTTCAGGTGGAGGCCTGCAGTAAGGAGGCCGAGAAGATTGATTCTCTCATCAACTACGCTAGCCCCACTCTGGTGTCCCACGTTCCGCTGTCCGCCTTCCTCAGCTCTGAGATCAAGACCTCATCCATCCACTCTGGGGGCTCTCTGCCGGCACCTGTACCCATGAGTCTCTGCTTCTGCCTGGTTTTCATCATCATAGCAGCTCCTAGATTCCAGTAGCTTTAAGTGCCGATTCTTCCTCCAGTTTTTTTCCCCAAAGTACCCTGTTTCTGAGACTGTTTGGGTTGCCATGGAAAAGGCCAAGGAGGCCATTCTGACAATCATTCCCATTGACTGCTGCGTCTTAAACAATCAAGCTGGGGAAAAGGTTCTTATTGTAGACCATTTATGAAGTATTATTAATTGATGAGTTACTCACTGGGTTTCCCCCCCTCAGTGGAGGGTGTGTGTATGGGTGTGTGGGTGTACGAGTGTGTGTGCGTGCGTCCGTGTCCGTGTGCTTGACCTATTAGAAATACCTAGCTTTATATCAACAGTGTTATGTCAGGAACAGACTCTTTGAAAGGTATGAAGGTTGATCACACACTCTGCGTGTGTGTTTGTTCGCGGATCCAAGACACATAGAGGAAACGTTACCTCATCTCGCAGCACATCTTTATGACAAATGCATTTACATAAACACACACCCAATCACTGTTGGTGATTGAAGAGGTGTGTGTTGACAGTCAGACCAACATGTGTATGATGAAGCCTCAGTGTTGACCACATGTACATCGCATATGCATGTGACATCTGTGTGGACCTAGTGTTTGAACCTCAGCAGTGTTATGGACTGGGTCAGGTCCAACAAATGGATCCATTCTTTAAAATCAGACCCCATCAAATAAAAGAACCCTAAAGTTATGGAATGCTTCAAGTGCCACAAAATATAGGGATCATATACAGACAAATATAAAACATGAAAGTAGCAATAAATAGAATCAATAGATATAAATACAGAAAGGTGTGTGGAAAAAAAAACTTTATTTAATGTCAACTATTAGTTATTTTAAGAAACATGTTATAATTTTTATTTTAATGTACTTTGAATCTTCTTTTCATATATTTTTTAACTTTTATTTTAGCTTCCAATTTTACATTGTAGCTTTTCACAGTCTCTCCTGATCTACCTCCTTTTAGTTTACTGTCTTATCTTTCCTTTCTGATCTCAAATAAACCTTTCTGTTCAGATCAACAAAAGAGCTGCAGAAAAATGGAAAGAGCAATAGAAAACAAATGATAAAAACAATGACCAATGACATTTAAAAAATACTTATGAGCTCAAGATGTAGAAACATAAAAGCAAAAAATTTAACTAAACATTTATTTTAGCTCATTTGAAAAATGAGCTAAAATTTGAAACATCAAAATGGTGAAAATGGTAAGAAAAAGTGTACTGGCAGACAAAAGAAATGTCATTGTCAAGTTTCCAGAGGATTTCTTGACAATTAAGCCTAACATGATGAATGCAGTGATATATTGCAGGCTCTTGCTGGAATGTCTGCTTATAAGACATCAGAGCTCAACTGACACAAGAAGTCTGGTATTCAGCCGTGTGATCCTGTTGTAATAAACAACAAAAGAATCGTGCAGTGCTGACTCCCACAGAAAGCAACAAAACTCTTGCGCTTTTCAGGTGGAGGACTGCAGTAAGGAGATCGAGCTCTTCTCGATTATGCTATTGCAATAAACAGCATCACATGGCTTGTCTGAAGCATGTCAGCCATATTGCTTGTAGAACTTACTGGTTAGCTTGTGAGTAATACTTTATGTTGCTCTTCTAGAACTCTCCTTATATTAAATCATCAAAATACTTGTTCCTGGGGCTAATAAATTCACATTCAAGCTGCACCATTCTTCACAGCTGTGTATCTATGCTTGTTTTACACAGTAATAAAAACTATATATTTTTTCACAGTCTTCAATTTTCTCTTATATCTTCCTGTTTCTCTGATAGGTATTTTCTTCTTTAATTGTTTTATACTTTTATTTACACATTAATTTATTTACAGAGTGTATTTCCTCATATTTTATCTTTTTTGTGGCACTGCTGTTGTTCCATACTGATCTAATTTGATGAAGAATGCAAGCTCAGGTGACCAAAAATCAGGTCACCTGATAAAGACAAAATTGGTGATTTTTCCACGGTTACTTTGAGCTTTTAGTGAACACCTCATCTGACGTGGGGCTCATAAAGTTTAAAAATAAGAACTAGAGTCTGAGTGTGTTCAGGTACATCAGTGAATTCTAGTTGTAGCTAAAGACTGTTTTATATTTGATGAGCACCATCTCAAACAAAAGCCTCTCCTTGTGTTCTGTCACTAGGTGAATGGTCCATGACTAAATAATGGCTGGACTTCCTGTCCCTTTGTTGGTGCTATATCTCTAAAGAGAATGAACAGTCTGTAGACATTAAGAATGAGAAGCCATTCAAATAACAAAAGGACAATCAGCTAGTTCCTACCTGTAGCACATGTGGCCTGGAGAACAGTATTTTTTCACAGGATGCCTTGCATATAATCTTATATGAAGTATTATTGAAGATGCAATAAATATGTATTTGTTTAGAAATGTCTGTATTTGCAATAGACTTGATAAGGATTTGTAATGATGCCCCATGTTTGTAAAACCAGCTGGTATTTTCATTATTATTATTATTATTGTTGTTATTATTATCGCATGATGAAAATATCTTAATTCCAGGTGTGTACTGTGGTGTGTGTTGTCTTGTTCCCGTGTTTGTCTGCCTGCACAGCATAATGTGTTGCTATCTCTATCAGTATTATTGTGTTGGGCAGTCCTGTAGCAGGGAACCCCAACATGCATTCCTCCATCTATTATTGTTTTCCTTTTTATTATTACTATATAAAGTTCTAAAATCTGAATCTTGTCTCTGTTTTTTGGATGATTTTGGATTCAGTGATAGTTAGCATAGTTACTTGATTGTGCGATAATAAACATAATGCTACCTCCTTAAGTCTTTGCATGTATTATATTTATTGCTTCATCCATACCTGTTTAGTTATATGTAAATGTTATTTTCATATTAACTACACAACAGAATGTATTGTTTTGTGTAAATATCCTCATTCCTACACCTCTTCCATTACCTGTATATAGCTAAAGTGCTAACCAAGTTTCTTGAATATAAGTACCCTGAGGCTTATTTGGTAATTCTGAGATGGAGTAATTAAAATCTTGCCCAATCAAGATGACGCTTCTAACAATCCACTGAAATGTTGAAAGCTACCTTTCAACAGCTTCCTGTCCAGCTCTTTAACACCAACGTGCTTTCATGCAGCCCTCACTTTAATTTTGATCTTTTTGCTTTTCTTAACTGTCTGAGCTGACAATAAATCACTTCCAAATAGCACAAAATCCTTTTTGTTTACCATCAGTGAGACATTAGCAATTTTAGAGCATCCATCACAAGCCTTTGGTCTCGCATTTTATGTTCCTGTTAGATTCAGCCTTCCTCATTGAGTTGTTGTTTTTGCAGTGTCAGTATAAGTAATCCCTTGAGCGAGCATCACTCTTCGAATTGCATGTTCTCTTTTATTAACTTCATACCCACAATAAGCAGCAGTATGTTCTCCTTCACAGTCACAGCCTTTCATCTTTAGCTGCCCTTTCACATTTCATCTATTCATGCTCACATCTTCAGCACACCTTCCACATCATTGCTTTTCTTTGCAAATTGCTGCTAAATATCAAAATGCCTGACATTTGAAGCATCTCAAATGTTTAACATTATAACTCATATATCCCATGAATACTTTACTCTGTGAACATTCTCCCTGGAATTTGATCAAGGCCGAAAAACTATCACATCTTTCTCCATTACTTGTTGTTTTGAACCATTTGATTTCTTTCACTTCACCTTCACTTACATTTTCAGAAAAGAACATTTTAAATAGCAGAAAAATTTTAACTCCACCCTTGACTCCTTTACTCATTTTTTGATTTTCAACTGGATACTTCTGATTTTTTTTCCATCTATTTTGTAGATCCTAGTAGTTTTTCTTTGTTGATCTCTATCTCTGCAATAAGAGAAACGAGCACCGCTTCGTAAAACCTTAGCACTTAATTCTTCACCAATTAGTTTATTTATCGTTTGGGTGAACTGAATAGGATTCCACTCACCAAAAGAACCTTGCCCTTAATTTAACTTGATAATGATACTCCTCTTTTTGTTTTAAAGTTTCAACTTCATCTTCCTCATCATTTTCACAACAACACAAATCATCTGATTTAATAGTTTCACTAATTTTAGAAAGGACTTCAGCTTGGCAAACAGTTCACAGTCCATGTTTGCAGAAATAAGTCACATCAACCACTGCTTGTATTTGATGACAAAGTCTGTTCCTTTCACTCCTCTCGTCATTTCTGTTCAGAGTTGCAGATTAAATCTATTGGAACGTCACTGTTTGTTTCTAAACAGAAACTGGGGTAAAACAGTTGCTATCATTGTTTATGATTTTGCAGGGATTGTGATTCTAAAAGCATGCTTATGAGCCAATCAAGTATCCATCAGAGTGAGTTTATGTCAGTCAAAAGCACCCATACTCTGCCACTGCTTGTATGAGTGTGATGCACTTATTGTAATAATGCTCTGCAGACCTTAATGTTCTTAGCTAATTAAGAAAATAAGTCAGACATTAAAAGCATGAATATTAATTAAAAATGCATAATAAATTTACAACCAACCACAATATAACAACATAGTTTATAATGCATCCCAGTAACAAATAATTACCATCTATTCTGTAATTCAGAATGGAGTCATAATTACAGAAAAGTAAAATGGTTGCTGTTTTTTTTTTGTTGTTGTTTTTTTCAGCTGAGTCTAGACTCCTAATTAAAAGTGTCTATTTGGGGTGCACTGAAGGTAGTGTGGCAGAGCGCATGACCCCTCATACAGAGGCCCCCAGTCACAGGTTGAAGTCCCAGCCTGTTGACCTTTTCCACAGCTTTCCTTCCTCTCTCACAACCTTTTCTGTTTGACCACCCTCAAACAAAGACCAATAGAGCTGATAAAACCTTTAAAATCAAAGTATAAATTTGTTCTTGGCATGACTCACAATGGCACCACATATAGAGGCTGCTGTGCCCAGTTTGATTCCCAGCCCATGTAGACCATGTGCTCCTTGTCTTCTTGTTCTCTTGCCCACTCTTTCTGTCAAGCTACTGATAAATAAATACCACTACTGCCATAGAAAACCTTCAAGGGATCCACAATTAGTTTAACATGTTGGCCTAAATGCACTCATCGACCCCTTTATTAGGTACACCTTGCCAGTACTGCGTTAGAGCCCCTTTTGCCTTAAGAACTGCCTTCATCCTTTGTGGCATAGATTCAATAAGGTACTGGAAACATTCCTCAGAGAGTCTAGTCTATATTGATAAAATAACATCAAGCAGCAGCTGCAGATTTGTCAGCGGCACACTTACAATCATTACATTACATTCAACTTAGAATCTCTCAGTTTTCATCTTTGCTCCTATTTGTCTGAAAGTGCATTTGGTTAAGGACTAACAAAATTAAACATTTAAAAAGGTCTACATGTAGAGAAGTGGAGCTCCAAGTTTGAATATTGACAAGTCAAGGAGTTTGTCATGTGGCCTAAATAGTGACATGTAGGACATGTGGCCAAACACATCTTTTTTTCATGTCATCGGGTTGATGAGCTGCTGTAAAACTTTTGACACTAAAATTCTAATCAGAAGGTTGAGAACAGTTTGTTTCGGATGGAGGCAACCTTGGCTTCACAGCCTTGACTTCTTCTCCACTGCTGTTCCTAGATTTGTGCATTCTAGATATGGATAGATAAACAGAAATAACACCAAGACCAGAGAAAGCTCTCTTTCGGAGTCAACTTATCTGCCTGTTTGTTGTTAAAAGGTCAGGAGCTGTTTTTCAGAGTTCACAGGTATTTTTTATGCAATATGTTAGCATAAGTGTTACTTTGTTTTTTCTTTTCTCTAACAGGTTATAGCTGAGTTGTGTGCAAGCTAGAAATCACAGTGCCTATATTCGCCTAAGTTAACTCAGTAAAAAAAAAAAAAACTCCTAACACACAGGAGTGGATGCAGTTTCTAACGCTGTACATAACAATAAAGTTAGAGTCACCATAATTGTGTTCTTCAGTTCAGAAAATCATTTAGTTTTCCTTTTTATTTATTTTTAGAACAGAATTCAGTTGTTTTCTTCTGAAAATCATGTAGTTTCCAGTTGACAAGGTTCATCTGAGTCAATTCTGTTGTTCAACAAATTGAACTAATTGAGAAAATGGACATCATGCTGAGGTACTTTAATCTCTCGGCATTTAATTTAAAATTATGTGTCTATTGAAAGTAAACTCATGAGAATCGCCTTCACAAACCAATCATATTCTAAAACTTCAACAATAACTAAGTTAGTTTTTGTTTGTTTGACTAATCAGTGCTGTACAAAGGATTTATGTCACCACTAAATCTCTACCTTTCATTCAAGGCAGTTGAATTTTCTTATAATGTTTAAAATTATCCATATTTGTCTAGATTTTCAGAAAATTCTTTAATATTTTCTTTGGAAAAGAATCAGGACATTTCACAAGACCTGAAAGATGCATCTTCAGTCACAGAGATTGTAAGGCAAGTTTTAACTGCTCTTAGGAAATTATATTTTTTAGGTGAAATATTTTTTCTCTCTCTGACTTATCCAAATAATAAATGACAACAAAGATTTTTGTGACAAGTTGTTGTTTGAAGGTTTCCGTATTTTATTTTGCGAATAACTGATCAATGTAAGGAGAGGGAAACCTGCAGTGAAGAAGAAAGGAAAGAATTGGATATATGTGTATACATATTTTTGTTTTATAGAGATTGCAAGGCAGTTTAATATTTAAACATCATTGATTTTGATCTTTTTTTGAATACTGTCTCCACATAGTAAAGGAATGTGAAAGTTAAACAAGTTTGATGTGTTGTGAAAGTTAAACAAGTTTGATGTGTTTTTACGCTGATTTGAAAGATGCACTGTTGCATCTTTGTGAGAATGGAACTACATTTAAGATAAAAGCAGAGGAGTAGGAGAACAGGCAGAGCTCCTCCAGCATACCAGGAATGATGGGGTAAAGGAGGGTCCCTGGATGAAACAGTCTGTTCCCTGACCTAAACTTTAGATTCTGATTCTTTGTACATGTCTAGATGGAACAAGAAGGAGAAAAAGACATTTAGAAATTTAGCACCAAGATTGATCCTGATGCTATCCTGTCATGATGGCTGAGTACCATTTTTGAATGTAACCCAGTTCTCTCCTAGTATTTCTCAGCAATGCTCCTCTCTGCATGGTTAAAGGCATGAAATATCACTCAACAACAAACAAATAGACCAGTTGAGTTACAAGAAGGAAACATATAAAACCTGCAGCACTCATGTTACAGGTCCAATGTATATTGACTTTGGGGCGTGCTGTGGTGGTGCACCCCACGTTTGGAGGCTTCGGTCCTTGACGCTGGCGTCGTGGGTTCGACTCCCACTCCTGGCAACCTTTGCTGCATGTCTTCCCCCCTCTCCTCACCCTCCTTCCTGTCTGCCTGCTGTAAAAAATTTGAGCCACTAGCACTGCAAAAACTCTTCAGCGAAAGAAAAAAAAATGTATATTGATTTTGATCAGTTTTAATTTTGTTTGATTTGTAATGAATGTCTAGCTCATTTCACAGCTGATCCTGATCACGGGATGAGTCGTTCAACACCTTGGCTGGTGAAGTTGTTGAAACAAAAAATACCACTCTGTTTCAAATGCTTAATCAGTGTGCACGTGTTTGTGTGTGTGTGTTTATGTGCATACTTGCGCGTGCATGCGTGTGTGTGTTTGTGTGATGCAAAAGAATATCCTTGCCTGAAAGTCCATATCCAGCTTCGTTGACTGCTTTGTTTGTAGTCATATTGCTGATTAATTCATTGGCTTCCATTTTTATGTAGACTTTTCTACATCAGAAGACTGTGTCAATGTTTGCCATTTTGGTGAAAGGGGCTTCTAGCATGTACTGACTGTTTTAAGTCACTCCATGGTCATCAAGAACTAAGCTTTGACTTTCCCCATCTTCCATGACTTAATACTCACCAGTTCTTGGATTTTATTGTTTTGGGTTATTGTCGTGCTGCAAGGTGCAGTTCAATGTCAGCTTTTGGTTTTTCTTTCATTCTTTCTCCAAAACCGTAAAATAGACTGTAGGACTGAACTCTCGTGCTGTAAAATTTCCCAAACCATGGGTTCACTAATGGTAAGAATGTAGTCCTAGATTCTAGAATTCAGGTTGAGGTGATACCAAACAAAAAGAAAATCTTTATTATAATGGCTATCAGTCACATCTATATCTCCAATGATGATTTGAAGTGTTTCCCAATTTTTTTTTATCATTAAAAGATTCGGAAATCAATTTTAAATAATATTCAGATTTAGTTATTTTTTTATTAAGAGGCAAAGCAATTTTAGTCCTATAGCACATTTTCAGGAACAAGTCAATTCAATGTGCTTCACATGATTAGAAGGAAAATAAAACAACAAACAAGCCAAACCATCAGAAGTAGCAGAGTCAGGAAAAGAAATGAAAGGTTAAAAAAAAACAATGATTTTGATGTTCTAGTTGTTATTTATTGGAAGGATTTCTGAAAAAATATGAATTTATTCTTGATTCAAACATTTCTGCAGTTGTTTTGAAATTTGTTCTAGATTAGAGGAGCATAAAAATGTAATGGATGCTGCTTTCCATATTTGGTTCTGGGGAAACAGGGATACAGAACTAGAATACCTGATTGATCTGGGAGGTTGTTAAATTAGTTGTTAAATTGGGAGGTTGTTAAATAATAGTTGCCAATTGATCTGTTTAAATCCACAGAAATTGGTAAGATTTTGTGTTAAGAAAAATAGGGTTGTCCTTGTAAATATCTTATCAAACAAATGCTGTGGCAGCCAGTGATTGAGTCAGTTGTTTATGTGTTGACTTGTAGAGACACTGTGAGATATAGTTCTCTTTCCCTGACGTGAAAATGCGTGTGTGACAATCCTGTGTCCTCAGGACAAGTCTGGATGTTTTCAGTTTCAACCTTGACTGTGTGGAAATAAATTATGAAAATCTTATCCCAAACTTTCCTTTGATGATTCTTTGCATCAGAGTGAATAAAAGTGAATCCATTTAAGGAGCATGAAGCACAAAACAAGTAGGGCTGTTATAAACCAATATTTTAGTAATTGAGTATTCTATTGATTATTCTATTGATTTCATCGAGTAATCGGATGAAAGAGTTGCTGAAATAAAATATCGATAAATCTGGTATAACAGTGTTACTATGAACAGAAATTTTTGAAACGTTTCTTTTAGATTGCACACACACCCACACACTCACTCAAACCCCTCACATCCTACATACATAGTTATTACTGTAGCATTTTAGAGTATTAAGACAAACAATGTATTAGAGCTGTTTCGGTCTTGCAAAGTTCCTCAGAACATTATTTACTATGATTGACACTTTATGAATGATTTTGAATTGAGTCATATAACTCACATTTTTGGATTTAAATGTTGCCATTACAGTGAACTGTTTGTTTACAGGAGTGGTACGGTTCTAATTCAATGGGACGGAGTGTTAGTCCCTCAACCAATCAGCCTATGCCTTCACTGGAACAGGGGCTGTGAAGGCGGGACTAGACGCTCTGTTAGCCAATAGGCGCTAACCATCCTCTCAGTTTAGAGAAGTTAGCAGACGGGTGCCAGTCTGCTCTGTTAGCCACGATGGATGCAATAGCATGCCTTCTGCTGGTCCTGCTGTTCTGGACAAGGTTACATGATATTGACGGTAAGTCATTCCGTGGAGATTTTGGAGCCGTTCGTTCCGCTTTAAAGTGTTCCTGTGGGTTTCGGTTTCTCCCCGGAGAGCTCCCTTACTAAAGCTCTTTGTTGAAGAAGCCCGTAAAAAGCGGAGTGTATGCAACTAAGATGGCGCAGGGTCTGTGGCCAGCCCGCTGCCGCCTGTCTCAGGAATGTTTATTGTCTGGCTGATGGGGGGAAAAACGAGCAGGGAGCTTTAATCAAACCCGGAGTTAAAAGCCGTGTTGCTGTTCGCGCTGTGGCTGAACTGGCCGGTGTCTGGACTCAGTTCGCCACAAAGAAGGTTCGGGTCCGCTGTTGTTAAGGGGAGTTGTCGGCAGTTTAGCTAACACAAAGTTGTCTGGATTTGTTTGATTCTATGAGGTAGAAGTTGGTTATTGACTTTGTGGTCGGATCGTTGCTAAGGGTAGACATTTCAGCTCCAGATGTTGCTCCCTAGACATGTATACCTGCGTGCGTGTGAATAATTCAGTGCAAAGCGATTGTTTCCAACTTAAAGTCGTTACTCATTTCACATCTCTTCATTTCGTTCACCCCACGGCGTTGTTATGAATATTGTAGAAAGCTTTGAGTGCTCGTTGATATCCAACGAGCTATTAAATAATTATGACTGTTTACATATGAACCAGTTGTTACTGTTTAGTACCTGCCAGAGGGCTGATTTTCAGCAGGTTTCATTATTCAGTTTGGCTCTGAGCTTATTAACCACTGAGTTGAAGTTAGCTTCTGATTGGGCTAAAGCAGGTGCGTACGACTCATCTTCATTTTGAGCCATTTCAAGGTATTTAATGTTCTCAAAGGACCGGCTATTACAGAATGTATTGATAAAACCCATAAACAAACTTAAAATGTTAATAAATACTGGCAACAGTGCTTGTTAAAATGAAATAATACAGAACTTTTTTCACATTGATGTAATTTAGCACTAAGCAAATAAAAATTGTTTTATAAAAATTTATCTACATATTACAGTTTCTTGAAGGTTCTTATATGTGACCCTCCATAAGACTATTTGAAATAGGCCTCTTATGTTTTTACAGGATAAGTAATATTTCACAGATCGTGTTTTTGTTTGCAGAATATACTAGGTTTTGATCTAAACCAGAATAAACAACTGTGTCCTAAAAAATAATGAAACAAGTCAAGAATTTCCTGTCAGATGTTTACATCAGGCACTCTGTAGATGTGTTGGTTTAGTTTCACTTTAAGTATTGATCATAGGATCCCAACCAGTGATCTCCCGGTAGAACCTGCTGGCAATCCCAGTGAACACACACATTTCTGTTAGTGTGGATCTCTGTGGACAGTGGAGAATAGAGCCTGGTTTGCTCTAATTTAGCTGGAAGAATATGAAGACTGTGAAGGGTCCGGGGTTATCTGGATTATAGATGAGCAATATTTAATTTCCTTGCAGATAAAATAAGTGTCTGCATCTGAATCTGGTCACATTCCAGTGGGTGTTTACACTCTGCTGAGGAGTTTTTCCTTTTCCAGACCCGATGTGTTTCACATGAACATCTATACAGAGACAGTCTAGATTTCTCTAACTAATTTGGAGCCTAACATGTTTCCTTTGTGTAGAGAGAAAGAGAGATGGGGCGGGCAAGGAAGCGTCAGCATGAATGGAGGAGGGAGGTTTTCCATCAGCAAGCAGAACAATCTCAGTTAAAGCAGCTGCTCTTAAATTGATTTGTTTGTTCAGTTTAGGGAGGGAGAGAGGGAAGGGTATTCCTCGTCTTTGTCCAGCATCAGGACTGTCATGGCAGGTTGGTGCGTGGCAGATGGAGCTCGGCCATCTCCACATGACTTTAGCCCAGCGTGCTGTCTCTGACGGGAAGAGAGCCAGGAGATGCTGCCCTGATCTGAAGCATCATATCTCTCCTGGCTCCACCATCATGTTCTGCTCAGCACCACACCCTGCAGTAGCCCCGGCACTCTCACACACACAGCATCGGTGGGCTACATGGGATTATCCTCATGCTGACACAGACTGCTTCCAGAGCTACCAGAGAGGATCTGCTCCTGTAGATGTCCAGAGAATGACTCACGTCTGGCTGACTTCCTCTGTTTGCACCATGTCGTTACTTAATTCCTCTGCACAGCAGCTCACTGCTGAGCTGCTGTCCTGGACCAGACGTCTGGACTCTGAAATATTTTATCCTTTATATCGTCTAAAATAGCAACACGCCATAAAAAAATTTTCAGCTACGGAGGGTGTGTAGGCCATGTGATGATTCTTCACATCACAGTGAATAAAAGTGAATCCATTTAAGGAGCATGAAGCACAAAACAAGTAGGGCTGTTATAAACCAATATTTTAGTAATTGAGTATTCTATTGATTATTCTATTGATTTCATCGAGTAATCGGATGAAAGAGTTGCTGAAATAAAATATCGATAAATCTGGTATAACAGTGTTACTATGAACAGAAATCCAATTTTTTATATTTGAGCATCCCTAACAATCACTTTTCTGTAGTTTAGAAAATGAATTCTAAACTACAGAAATCTGAAAAGTATATTCAATCTGAAATTATATTCAATTTAATAATAATGAGGAAGAACCACAAATACACTTATAAAAAATGTCAGTCCTCCAGCTTTTAGTTTATGTATTCATCTTCAGTCAATTTAATAAATGAACTCTCACCTTGACCAGCCATTTATAGCTCTTGTGTCCATATTAAAAACCGAAACATGTGGACTAAATAATAAAACATAATTTAATGAAGCTTAGACGCAGATACATTTTCCTGAAGGAATTTTAATAATCGAGGTACTCGAGGAATCCCTACACACTCTCTAAAATATCAATAAACTAATTTCTACAGAACATTGGATTCTGGAACTTGCAGATATTTTAAATATTCAAAATACATAAACAGACTATAAGTAAATAAAATAGATTGTGAAGTCTCTGTAAACAAACGTACCCTATAAAATATACCGGATGTACTGCCAGGTAGTACTTTAGAGGGGAAAAGTGCAAACTTACTGTGTGCTGGGTGTGAAATGTTTGCAAGAAACATCTTGAGTTTTATTAATTAGATTAAAGGGCATCATCTGTTCAGTGATTGAGCAATCTGTCTTGGGGCACACTGTTACATTGTTTGTATTTAGTGGTTGATTAAACACCTCAGTGATTGTGGACTGTCAGTAAGACGGTGACATCCATTGTTTGAAGTTTTGTTCGTCAAGCTGGTAAACCTCCATCAGATGATTACAGTTTCGGTACAGATACATGTTTGTTATGTTTCATGACACAAGTTTATTCAGACTGTCACGTTCGGCTTTTTAACCAGCGTTTGGCTTGCTCCACCTGACCAGGCTTAATGCTGCACTCTGTACCGGACCATGAGCCTGGCAGGTAACTAATGCCAGAGTTCACTCATCCTTATGGACTTGGCACACAGGACTAGTGCCACTCCCTCTCCACTCATCTGCTATGGAACTTGCGTGGAGAGGTGACAGGCTCTTGTCCTCAAGCTCTTGCATGTAGATGCACTTACCTGGGCACATCTAGATGAAGAATGTTCAGCTTGTGTTCACTTTCCCTGTCTTTACCCCAAGTGAATTTTGCCGTTTGCCATTCATTCGTCTTATGTTGAAATGGGTTGCAGTTTCCTTAGAGGTCTGAGTTTAGGATTTAAACAAACATGGAAAGAGTCCAAGATTATTCCATTTCTGTTCCTTATCTCATTCTTTTAGGCTTTTTGGGATTCTTTTTCCAACTGAGTTTAAAACAAAGTGCTTTGGGCTGGTTGTTGCTATGGTTACAGGCAGTCTTCAGATGTGATGCGTCTACTGCATGAGAAGAAGAAACCTAAAAGTGATTTGATGTGGTGATCAGTAATGTGATGCAGTGGCTCTTCTGTGTTCATAGGACATTTCATCTGTCTCAGTGGGGATTGTAGTCATGGTGCAGTTGCAAGGTTGTAGGTTTGACTCCAGCTTGCTCATGTCACCGGTTGACTACCTGTTCATCTCTACTTGTGACCTCATCTGAATGCATTAAGTGAAAGTAGATTGTTGTCTGGGATGTTTTAGTTTCTTCTGCTGGGAGACAACATTGCATGTGTTATGTGATTCTACCAAATGCTTATGTAGCATTTTCCTTGTGTGTGTGTGTGTGTATGTGTGTTTGTCAGCAGACTCACTGTCTAAGAGTGGACAACTGTCCGGCATGTGGGTGACCCCGGCTGCCTGTTGTCCAGGTGCAGGAACCACAACTAATTATAAGGGTTTTCTAGATGCCAGTAGTTGCTGGCAAAAGGATAAATGCAGTAATTAAGCCTAGGAGTAAATGAATGTTTGAGCTCCACAGAGACAGGCTCTCTTTGTAAAAGTCAGGTGAGCCTGCTCCTACAGAGGAACGTATTTCATACTGGACACCTTCCATCAGATCCGATTATCCTTAGAATTGTTTTACATTGACTTAATTCAGGCTGAAGATAATTATTATTATGCCTATTGTAGAAAGCATATGTCCATTTGCTAGTTGTGGTTGACCTCGTTGCTAAGTGGTTTATTATGTGATCATAGTAAGCTCACTAGCACCTGATCAGGTGTTTCAGATATCCTCCTCAGCTGATCATTCAGTGTTAATCTGGGCATAACTGTGTTTTAACCTATCAGTTAATGTTCAACAAAAATATCCCTGGATTACATGTGTGTCTGGTTGTCCAAACACTAGGAACTCTTGGAAGGAAATGTGTTCCCTTTGACAAACACCATCTTGAGTTAGCTTCAATGTTGACAGCAAAGTGTGAAGCAACTGGTATCTACTTCAGGGCCTTTTGTCAACCTGAGCACTTTTGGAGTTCCTGCTGGGTGTAACAGAGACAACTGGGCTGAGGACAGAGGTGGACACAGTCGGAGAGTGGGATGGCGCTGCAGGACCCAGACAGCCTGGCTGAGCCACGACTCATCTGCTTCTAACATTCCCACCGCTGCTGCTCACATCCCACA